TTCTTTTAGGAAATAATATCGTGAGATACAGTATGTAGTTTGGGCCACAACATGTGCATGCGATTGCCAGGATGGTGGAAGGCCAACTGGATGGACCGTGGACTTCTTTCGTCCAGCAATTAATTCTTCTGTCCTTATTTGGAGGACATGATAGAGTGAGTTTAACCAGATCACAAGAGGAATTCGAGTGACCATCGCCCTTTGACCCTTGTGATCTCATCCTTGAGTACTCACCCAGGTGTAATTATTATATTGTGTGAGGGTTGCTATGTAAATGCAAGTTGTTGTTGTTGTTGTCATCTTTCAATCACATCTTCAAGCTGCTTCTTAAAAGAGTCTAGTGTCCTGGCCCCCAGCACCTGCCTACCAATGTTCCAGCTGTTTATTACCCTCTCCGTAAAGAAATACTTCCTGGTGGGTGTCTTGAATGCTTTTTGCTCCAAATCAGTGCCAGCAGATGATATTGGTGCAGTCAGTCCATCACTGTGTCCCAGGGAGGCAGGGGCTCACTCAGTTCATACGAGGTACGGAGACCAGTAGATGAGCGATTCTCAGGTCATTCCTACACATCTGAGCAGCTGATACAGAGCAGGACAACAACAACAACAAATTGCGGTTAAATAGCAACTTTCATGTCGGGAGGACGTCCCAAGGATCCAGGAGCTGGTCACTTATTAGCCCTCATGGTCTTTGACTGATGTATGGGGTAAGGAGAGGAGTCTAAATGAGTGGAGATATTAAAGAAAAGGCACTACAATAAAAACGAGGTCTGATCTATATAAATCATATAATCAACTTAGTCGTAGATCTGCCCAAGTCCCGTTGAACTTCCTATTATTTATAAGTTTCACATAACTCATACTTTGCATCAATCCTATTCAATGTATGGTCCCAACAGCTACGATTTGTGTGAGATTTACTGTGATATTATTTCCTAGATGAGAGATGTGGTGGGTTCGGCAACTGCGGGACACACATATTACCGGTCGTGCATGGACAACACCATAAATTATATGGTCCTGAACAAAATTCCCAAATCAGTACAAAACCGGGTGAAAACATGGTATGATTACACTTGGGTCTCACAAGGAATGCTGGGTGAGTCTGCCATATTGTCTCTCGTGAATGTATTGTCTTAGCACCAATCGTGGTGGGATTTGATTTGATTAGGGGGATGCTCGAGGGAAGGTGTCGATGTTTGCACTGCTTCTCATCAGTAAAAGAAACAGCCAGAATTGTCCAAACGCAAAATCATACAAATTCTACAATACAGAGGAGGTTATTTGGTCCATTGTACAGTGTTTGGGCTGGTGCTGTACACCCCACTGGAGCTATCTTGTTACTGATTGAAATAAGGGACCTCAAGATAGATGGATACATGGAGACACAAGTGTAGGACCAACAACTGCAGTGTCAAACAGATACAGTAACTGCTTCCTAATTAATGGTATGGACCAGTACACAAGGTTCAAAGGATGTGGGAGGGTCGAGGTTAGGATTTGGACGTCTTGGCTTTTCTCCTGTGCCGGACAGTCAGTGGGCGGGTTGTGGGTGAAGTCTGGCTTTTGATTGGCGTCGATTGGGGGGGGTCAGGGTTAGGGAGTGGGGGCGAGGGGCTGTGATTGTCGGGCTGTCATTCAACCATCAGGCAGACAGGGGGCGGTTGAAAATGGAAACGAGATTGCAAAATGACTACAGGCAAACAACTCCTTGCGATTATAGCGCCCTTCACATCTGACAGGAGAGGACATCTCAAAGCTCCTCACAGGATTCACTGTAAAGTGTAGTGACTATTCGTTTCCGTAGGCAAACCCAGGAGCCAATTTGTACGCAGCAATGTCACACAAACAACGATGAAGTGAATGACCAAAATTATTTGGGGGATTGTTGGCCAGGGCAGTGGGAGAGAGAAACTCCCTTCTCTTTTCGAGTAGCGCCAAGCGATCTTTAACATCCACCGAACAGGCAGACGTGACCTCGGTTTAACATCTCATCTGAAGACCGGCACCTCCAACAGCGCAGCACATCCCCAGCACTGCACTGGAGTGTCAGCTTAGGCGATGAACTCAAAGACTTAAGGAGCAGAATGCCAGTTTTACTTTTCTATCACTTCACAGAATATATTGCAAAGTGAATTGACTGTATACTTTGTGGCCAATTTGAAAAAATGTAGGGCTTGAACCCACAATCTTGTGACTCAGGTGGATGTAACATTGGACATTCTGGTTATTGGCTTGTGTAGTCGGGATATGGTAATAGGTTGATTACAGTAAAGTCGGCAGCGATTAAATACTAATCACATTTTCCCATCTTTCAAGATGAGACCGAATTATTGGTGCAGCTTCCTGATAAGATGAGGCTAGCGATTGCTGTTGATGTCAACTACTCCATTGTCAGTAAAGTAGCTCTCTTTCAGGTATGAGTACTTGTTAAATGTTATTTAGTATGTATGTATGTGTGTGTGTGTGTGTGTGTGTGTGGCTGTGTATATGTGTTTATGTGTGTGTGTGTTTGTTTGTGTGTTTATTTATTTACGGTTATAATAATTATTATTTCATTTATTTTATTTATTATTTTACTAATGTGAAAGGCGCTAGATAAATTAAATTTATCTAGCGCCTTTGGAGTCCTGCAGCTTAGTGATTGGAGCACTCGCCTCACAAGTGAGAGGACCTGGGTGCGATTCCCGGGCAGGGCGAAAGTAAGAACCCGGTTGTTAGCCGATTGGTGAATCGCTTTATCAGGGGTAATAATCCCTTCAAAAAAAAACATTAAAAAATAATAATAGTTTGGTCACTTCAATCCATGACTGTTTGTGGGACGCTGCTGTGCGCAATTGGCTGTCGCGTTTCGCCCACAAAGTATACAGCCAATTCACTTTGCAGTATATTCTGTGAAGTGATAGAAAAGTAAAACTGGCATTCTGCTCCTTAAGTCTTTTCTCCTCCTCTCTCAGGGCTGCGACAGACAGATGATTTATGACATGTTGAAACGCCTCAAATCAGTGGTTTACCTGCCCGGAGATTACGTGTGTAAGAAGGTAATTGTGAACCAATGAAATCCACATGGAGCTCAATGGACAGAAGTCATGTTAGGCTTGTGATGTGCTCAGTGCATATTTGCACCAAAGCTGAATAACCTGCTCCCACGGCCTAAATGGTAAAGGGTTATTTCAGTACGACACTGGACAATACAAACCAGAAAGGTTGTGGGTTCATATCCGTACTCAGACAATTGATCTTTCCTGGACAGTAACAGCAGTTCTAAAGTTGGCCTAACCTTCCATGAGAACGAGAGGCCGCCCAGTCAGGGTTTTCACTCCTCACTACTATCCAGTCATGCCTCCTGGAGACCGTGTGTATATGGGTGCAGGGAAGATGGAGTCAAGCTTGGCTCTGATATTCTCTGTGGCCTGACAAAGCATGTCCATTCGGCGCAGTATTAGCACTCTCGCCTCTGAGTCAGAGGGTTGTGGGTTCTAATACCACAAAGAGCTATCCAAATCAATCCCAATCCCCTGCTCTCTCCCCAAATAATTATCTACTTCTCTCTTAAAAGTTGTTATCGAATCGGCTTCCACCACCCTTTCAGCCAATGCATTATGGTATTAAATAAAAAATCAAATAACCTCCCTTAACATCTTAACTCCATAATTTCTGCATAATAACAGCCGGTTGGGCTGTTTGTCATTTCAGGGAGAGATTGGAAGGGAAATGTACATCATCAAAGCTGGAGAGGTTCAGGTCGTGGGTGGACCTGATGGGACGACGGTGTTTGTGACACTCCGCGCTGGCTCTGTGTTTGGTGAGATCAGGTGAGGCTTTGCTCTCCCGACGTGAAAGACGCGATAAAAATATAATATTTTATTGTTTTCTTCACTGACCGGATCTGATTCCTCAACTGCCTCTCCCCTCGGGCTGCTGTGACCCTTGCCCGTACTTTCATCCATCATTACGCCAGCTCTCTGCTTCACATCCCCCGCCCTTCCCACTCCACCATCGGCAGTTGTTTGTGGGACACCCTTGGCTGCCACGTTTCACCCACAGAATATACAGGCAATTCACTTTACAGGATATTTTGTGAAGCTTTTGAGACGTCTTAACGACGTGATAAGGCGCTATATCAAATGCAAGGATTATTATTATTATTCTTAGGGGGTTTAACCCACAATCATCTGATTCAGAGGCATGAGTGCTACAACAACAACAACAACAACAAGATTCCATTTATAAAGCGCCTTTCATGTCAGGAGGACGTCCCAAGGCGCTGCACAGTTGGGTCATGACCCAACCCAATTACGAGCTGAAATGGCCTGACACCTCTACCTTACTCTCTGTAAATAGGCCAATTCTCGTCAGGAAAGCTGTAACGCTAACATGTTCCGTTTGCTGATACTTTCAGTCTGCTGTCGGTGGGAGGCGGTAATCGACGCACAGCAAATGTGGTGGCTCACGGCTTCGCCAATCTCTTCATTCTCGATAAGAAGGATTTGAACGATATCCTACTGCACTACCCGGATTCCCAGAAACTGCTGCGCAGGAAAGCCAAGTATGTGGGTTTGTCTGACCGTCTGCACATTGTTGGATAATGTCTGATCTGCCTAAGCGGAGTAAAAAAAAAGAGTATTTTGAAAAGATCGGTTGTTTTGCACAGTTTAAAATATACCGTCAATTCACTTTAAAACAACAACAACAACAAAATTACATTTGTATAACGCCTTTCATGTCGGGAGGACATCCCAAGGCGCTGGACAGACAGAGTTTCGGACCTGAGCTGGGGGGCGCGGCGCAAAGCCTGTCACTGAGCGGCAGACGGCGGACGCGGATCGAGAGCTTCACGGTTTCAAGCAGAGCATCTTTTTCGTGCCGATTATCATCGTCGTCGCCGTCGTCATCGCCATCACCTTCATCTTCATCATCACCATCATCAATAATCCATAATCGATCGTAATGTAGCGTTGGTGGAGGGTTCTCGAGCTGCTGCGATGTGGGACGTGTCCATTGCTGCTGAGAAGCCAATGTGACATTGCAACCGGACCCCCAACTACAGTACCTCTGTGTTTCTCTCCCCCCCCACTCCCCGTCCTCTCCCCCCCCCCCCACTCCCGTCTCTCCCCCCCCCACTCCCCGTCCTCTCTCCCCCCCCCACTCCCGCCCTCTCTCTCCCCCCCCCACTCCCCGCCCTCTCCCCCCCCACTCCCCGTCCTCTCTCCCCCCCCCCACTCCCCCCCTCTCTCCCCCCCACTCCCCGCCCTTTCTCCCCCCCACTCCCCGCCCTCTCTCTCCCCCCCCACTCCCGCCTCTCTCCCCCCCCCCCACTCCCCGCCCTCTCTCCCCCCCCCCACTCTCCGCCCTCTCTCCCCCCCCACTCCCCGCCTCTCTCCCCCCCACTCCCCCGCCTCTCTCCCCCCCCCACTCCCCGCCCTCTCTCCCCCCCCCACTCCCCGCCCTCTCTCCCCCCCCCCACTCCCCGCCCTCTTCCCCCCCCCACTCCCGCCCTCTCTCCCCCCCCACTCCCCGCCCTCTCTCCCCCCCCCACTCCCGCCCTCTCTCCCCCCTCCCCCCCCCACTCCCCGCCCCTCTCTCCCCCCCCCCCACTCCCCGCCCTCTCTCCCCCTCCCCCCCCCACTCCCCGCCCTCTCTCCCCCCCCACTCCCGCGCCTCTCTCCCCCCCCCACTCTCCGCCCTCTCTCCCCCCCCACTCCCCGCCCTCTCTCCCCACTCCCCGCCATCTCTCCCCCCCCACTCCCCGCCCTCTCTCCCCCCCCCTCCCCGCCCTCTCTCCCCCCCCACTCCCCGCCCCCCCCCCCACTCCCCGCCCTCTCCCCCCCCCACTCCCCGCCCTCTCCCCCCCCACTCACCGCCTCTCCCCCCCCGCTCCCCGCCCTCTCCCCCCCACTCTCTGCCCTCTCTCCCCTCCCCCACCTCCCGCCCTCTCTCCCCTCCCCCACTCCCCGCCCTCTCCCCCCCCACTCCCCGCCCTCTCCCCCCCCACTCCCCGCCCTCTCCCCCCCACTCCCACCCTCTCCCCCCCCACTCCCCGACCTCTCCCCCCCCACTTCCCGCCTTCTCTCCCCCCCCACTTCCCGCCTTCTCTCCCCTCCCCACTCTCTGCCCTCTCTCCCCTCCCCCACTCCCTGCCCTCTCCGACCCCCACTCCCTGCCCTCTCCGCCCCCCCACTCCCTGCCCTCTCCCCCCCACTCCCCGCCCTCTCTCTCTCTCCCCCCATTCCCCGCCCTCTGTCTCTCTCCCTGCCCCGCCCTCTCCACCCCCCGCTCTCTCTCTGCGCCCCCCCTTCTCTCTCTGCCCCCCCGCTCTCTTCTCCGCACCCCCAGCTCTGTATCTCCGCCCCACCCGCTCTCCCTCTCCGCCCGCCCCGCTCTCTCTCTCTGCCCGCCCCGCTCTCTCTCTCCGCCCGCCCCGCTCTCTCTCTCCGCCCGCCCCGCTCTCTCCCTCCGCCCGCCCCGCTCTCTCCCTCCGCCCGCCCCGCTCTCTCCCTCCGCCCGCCCCGCTCTCCCCCTCCGCCCGCCCGCTCTCCCCTCCGCCCGCCCCGCTCTCCCCTCCGCCCGCCCCGCTCTCCCCCTCCGCCCGCCCCGCTCTCCCCCTCCGCCCGCCCCGCTCTCCCCTCCCCCGCCCCGCTCTCCCCCTCCGCCCGCCCCGCTCCCCCTCCGCCCGCCCCGCTCTCCCTCCGCCCGCCCCGCGCTCTCCCTCCGCCCACCCCGCGCTCTCTCTCCGATTTCAGTGGCCCCTTTGTTCAGCTGATCACCTTCTCTCACACACTGTCGCCCTTCTCTCTCGTCTGTTAGATTTTAGCGCAATGATCACAAATTCACTGCACATTCCTCTGCAGCTTTATGAAAAAACATGACGTTTTATAATTTTTTTAAAAAATAAGCTTTTCTGGCTGTGACGTTGCTGTAGCCTTGGCCTTGTTTTCTCTCGGTGCAGGTCTCAGGGGCAACCTGTTATTCGCTCTGTCAGTGGTGCTTTTTGTAGCTGGACAGGCTGTGACAATGATGCAGCAACCTCTCTCTCTCTCTCTTTCTCTCTCTCTCCTGCTCATCCTTTCCCTTCAGACCGTTTCTCTCCGCTCCATGGCCACGCACGTTACAGTTGACGCCCGAATGCGTCGAGGGGAATTAGAGTAAGTGCGGATCTCATCTGCCCCACAAGGACCAGGTGAGGGCTTCACAGAGAGACAGAGCTGCAGCCCGTGGTGCTCATTGTGCGTGTTGCGTCATTGATGGTTTTATCTGGTGTGGAGTCTCGTTGCTTCTCAATGTGATGGGGAGGTGTGTGTGTGTGTGTGTGTGTTGGGGGGGACTGGGGGGAAGGAACAGAGACAGTCTATTACTCACTCACTGCATGCATCGGTTTGGAACGCCCAACCCAAAACTGACTGCCGCAGGTTCTGTGATGGCGTTTGAAAGGGTATTAGACCAATATTGAACAGGGAAATGTCGAAGGGACAGGGATGTGGGACAGAACCGGCCGTCGATCAATTGTATTGACTATGTGTGTGTATGTATGTCAGTCCGTGCTACATCCAATAGCTCACAATAACGTCCTGCACACAAGCCACAGGAATGCTCTGCACTGGAGAAAGCCATCATTTGGTGTGTCAGCCTGGCGCAGTGCGAGCAACGAGTCTGTGAGTCAGAAGGTCATGGGTTCAAGGCCCACGTCAGGACTTGGAACTCATATTGTCTAAGCTGACTCTCCAATGCATTGCCGAGGGCCGTTCTGTGTTGTCCTATAGAAAGAGAAGGGAGTTTTCTCCCGCAGTCCTGGCCAACAGGAGTCCTGTAGCTCAGTGGTTAGAGCACTCGCTTTGCAAGTGAGAGACCTGAGATCAATTCCAGGCAGAGGGCGAAACCTTGGGCAAGTTTCCTTACTCCACACAGAGCCTAATAATAATCCCTCCAAAACCACAAACAATAATAAATTGGTCATTTTCAATCCACGACTGTTTGTGGGACATTGCTGTGCGCAATTGGCTGCCGCGTTCGCCCACAAATATACAGTCAATTCACTTTACAGTGTGTTCTGTGAAGCGCTTTGGGACGTCCTCCCGACGTGAAAAGCGCTACATCAAATGCAAGGATTATTATTATTATTAACAATCCCCCAAATAAAATTGTCCATTTGCTTCATGGCTGTGTGAGAGACATTGCTGTATGTAAATTGATTGCCACATCTGCCCAAAACCTGCACAATCACTCTGCTTTAGAGTATATCCTGTGAAGCGTTTTGAGACATTCTCCAGACATGAAAGGCTGTATATAAAATGGAAGGATTATTATTTTACCGAGTCCTTCCTGTCTGTGCCACTGCTCCTGTTTTTCTAGACCAGCTTATATTTTTATTAATTCCCACTTTCCCGTTCTCCTCCCCACTTCCCTTGATGTACTTACTACTCGGCTCCTTATCTAGTTCCCTCTTGAATGATTCCGTTGCTCCAGCCTCCATTACCGTGACGTGGAGGAGCAATTTATCTGAAGGATTGTTGGTCAGGACACCGAGAGAAACTCCCTTCCTCTTTTCCTATCGTGTCATGGGATCTTTTAACGTTCCTAGCGCGAGGCAGACACAACATGATCCAATTAAATTAGCTTTCAAAGGAATTTCAGCCCTGCAAGAGTCTCCTGCTGGCTCAGATGTTGCAGCTGTATTTTCATGAGCGACGTGCAACAAATCCCCCTAAGTTTAATTAAACTTTTAGAAGAAACCGCTTCAGTGGTTTGAAACCTCTGTGGTGCCAATTTGGTGTTTTACTCAGATGGTCTACTCTGACAGTCCAGTGGAGTAATGGGGGACAAGTGTATTGTCGGTGGTGCTGTCATTCGGATGAGACATAAAGAAACGAGGCTAGAGATCCCTTGGTTACTATTCGAAAAGAAAAGCGAGTTTCTCCTGGTACCCTGGCCAACAATCCCACAAATTTCGGGGTAATATTCCATTCAAAAAAATAATAATTTGGTCACTCATTCCACGACGGTTCGTGGGACACTGCTGTGGGCAATTGGCTGCCGCGTTCCACCCACAAAATGCACGGGCACTCCACTTATACCGTATATTCTGTGACGCCTCTGGCTGACTCCGGGCTCCTGTTGGTCACTTGTCCCCTCTGCTCCACCTCAAGTAGGCCGTCAGCCACTCCGCCCCGAAACTCCGGAACTCTCTCCCTCAATCCCTCTGCCTCCCTCCCTCCCTCCCTCCCCCACCACTTGCAAATTGCTGCTCAAGACCTTCCTTTTTGATCTTGCTTACGGTCACCTCCTGGCTCGGGGTCAGAACCCACCACCGCTAAGCGCTCCGGGACGCTACCCAGAGTGAAGGGCGCCACGTAAGCGCAAGCTGTTGTTGTTGTCTCTGCGTGCTGAGACCGCTGCATAAAAAGGACTGTTGGACACTGCCGGACACGAGGGGCTGTCAGTCACACCTGTGCGTGCTTGAGGTGGCAGCGCTGCATCAAGCCGGTGTCCGAGGTAACTACCTCAGATCTCTTTCTGCGATGCACGCATGATATTTGCAACCCAAACACCTCGCCTGTTAGCATTGTGGTCGCAGAGCGCCGTCGGTGACTACGACACTGGTTCTCAGCAGCTCGGCTCACCCAGACCTGATCTGTGCTGTATTAGCTTGCTTCCCAATTAGCTGGTTATAATTCCCCATTAAAGTGCTCAGTGACAGAAATCTCCCCCCCCCCCCCCCACCACCCTCCCTCCACTCAGTCTGGTACATAATACGTGGTAATCTCTCTCGGAAATCTGTTTGAGTTTGTAAATTATCCTCAGTCGCCAGTGTCGGGGACTGTACTGGATGCTGAGGGAGCAAAGCATCATCTGGCAATAATAATAATAATAATAAGCCTTGCATTTGATATAGCGCCTTATCACGTCTTCACGACGTCTCAAAGCGCTTCTCCGGTCTGTCGGCCCCAACCTGGGCTGGCCGTTTAGGTTCTGAGTCTTCTGCACGTAAAACATTGCGGAGTCCTGTAGCTTAGTTAGTGCTTAGCGCGCTCGCCTCACAAGCGAGAGGATGTGGGTTCGATTCCCAGGCAGAGCGAAATGTTAGGGAAGTTTCCTTACTCCACACGCCCCTCTATCTACACAGCAGCAAGCAGGAACCCGGTTGTTAGTCGATTGGTAGATCGCTTTCCGGGGGCAATAATCCTTGCAGTCTGTGCCGTAATTTCGAGCGCTCCGAGACACTGCCGAGCGTGAAGGACGCTATATAAATGCAAGTTGTTGTTGTTGACTTTGTGGGAGGTTTCACCCACCAAATGGAGTCAATCCATTTTGCAGTATATTCAGCGAAGCACTTTAAGGTGCTATATCAAAGGGAAGGACTATTATTAATATTATTATTATGATGGTTCTGGGTGGCTTTGTGCTGAGCTGTGGAGCCGGCGTTTCTGATCTCATCGTCATCTTTGCATCTTCGGTTTTATTTTTGCAAACTCGGGTCGTTGGGTTGAGATCATAGGGCGGGCGGGTGAGTGGGGCCTGGGGTGTGTGTGACTGAGAGCGGCACTTCCACTACCACCGCTCCTCCCCCCCCCCCCCCCCACCACCACCCCAGCGATCAGCCTCTGGCTCTCGTCTCAGCCCAGCACAGGACAATACAAGGGTCAAATTCCTGAGGAATCAGCCCTTGGGATTTGGCTGCCGCATTCAGCTTTACTGCCTGATCAATACAATCAAATTCCCTTCAGTCTGGGTCTGGCTTCTCCGCAGTAATTGTAGGTTGATGCTGCTGCATAGGTCATCACTCCGCAGTCTGCAACAGTAGCACAAACGTCAACCCAATCTCTCCTCCTACCATTTCTATTCCTCTTTCCACCCCTTTCCCCCACTCCCCCCCCCACAGGGGACCAGAATTCCAGCGTTCCATTGTTTGTGGAGACTGTTGGAGTGGACGCATTCCCTCTGAACGCTGCACCTGAGACTGAAGTGACGGCGTAACGCTGGTGTAACGCAAGAATATTCTTACCATCTCTCTGCTGTCTGGTGCAGTGAGGCTGCAGCTGGTGTGTGTCCTGCCCTTGTTATTACTGCACGAGTTGTGCCAGACTGACATTGGATTTAATTTAGCGACATTGAGTCGGTCACTCGGTGTCCTAAATGCAGTAGAGCCAGGATTTGTGTGGGCTGGGGTGTAACTGCGGAGACCCGTGCTGTAGTGTTTAGCGAGTTTGCCTTGTAAATGAGAGGACTCGGGTTTGAATCCTGGGCCGGGCGAAACCCAAGGCCAGTTTCCTGACTCCACACGCCTCTGTTTACCTAGCAGTAAATAGGAACCTGTTTCTGGGACAATTAGCTCAATCCACTTTACAATATATTCCCTGATAAGGCGCTACTATAAATCAAATGCAAGGATTATTATTATCATAAATGGGGTTTAATGCATTGCAGCCGATTAAGAGAACGTTTAAGCTTAAGGTGAAAATTAAACGAAAAAATTATTTTGAGATGTCCTTGAGTTTTTCAATGTTAACACAAGTCGCTGCCAAGGAGCTCCTTGCTCTGCAGAAAATATTAATTGCATTTTGTTTTACTCCCGATTGCTGTTCCCGCATTTTTGTTCGGCTTCAGAACGAGGAGGAAAGAAAGGAACATTTGTTCAGGTGAGGACTGTGTGGTTAGAGCACTCACTTTGCAAGTGAGAGACCTGAGTTCAATTCCAGGCAGAGGGCAAAACCTTGGGCAAGTTTCCTTACTCCACACACCTAATAATAATCCCTCCAAAACCAAAAACAATAATAAATTGGTCATTTTCAATCTACGACTGTTTGTGGGACATTGCTGTGCGCAATTGGCTGCCGCGTTCGCCCACAAATATACAGTCAATTCACTTTACAGTGTGTTCTGTGAAGCGCTTTGGGACGTCCTCCCGACGTGAAAAGCGATATATCAAATGCAAGGATTATTATTATTATTATTTGCTGAGCCTGTAATCTTCAGCTATATCAGCAAAGCCGAGGGCATAAGATATACAAAATTACATTTGTATAGCGCCTTTCACATCGGGAGGACGTCCCAAGGCGCTGGACAGTCAGTGTTTCGGACCCGATCTGGGGGTCGGGATTGGGGAGGGTGGAGGGAAGGAGGGTGACTGACAGCACAGTTGAAGAGGAGGATCTTGAGGCGGGTCTTAAAGGAGGCAAGGGAGGGTGTGGGGGCAGAGTGGCTGAAGGCTCGCCTACCAATGGTGGGGCGGGTGAAGCGGGAATCATGAAGCAGGCTGGAGCTCGCTGAGTGGAGGGAGCGGGCAGGTTGGTAGGGGATTAGGAGGTTGAAGAGGTAGTGGAGAGCAAGGCCATGGAGGGTTGTGAAAGTGAGGACCACTATCCTCTGTGTGATGGGAAGCCAGTGGAGTCGGGCAAGGATGGGGATGATGGGATCACGGAGCCAATAAGGGCTGCAGAGTTCTGGATGATTTGCAGCCTATGGAGGGAGGAGTTGGGGAGACAGACAAGTAAGGAGTTTGCATGGTCAAGCCTGGATGTTGTGAATGCTTATATGAGGGTTTCGGTGGCCTGCAGTGTGAGACAGCAGCAGAGCCCAGCAATATTGCGGAGGTGGGGGAAGGCAGAGCGAGTCGTGGCACGGATGTGGGGTAGAAAGGATAGTTGAGGGTTAAACAAGACACCAAGGTTCCGGACTGGCTCAGTGAGGTGGAGTGTGCAACCACGGATGGTGATGCTGTCGGCGCCTGAGCTGTGGAGGCGCTGACTGGAACCAATCAGGAGAGGCTCAGTCTGGTTGACGTTCAACTGAAGAAAGTTTGCTCTCATCCATAATTATGTAAGCAGGATGTGTCCCTCCAGGGAGAGAGTGCGTATTCCACTCCAACAATCTATCTCTGGGATTTCCATGTGTAATCTGACAGACATTCTGGTCTTGGAGTCGAGGGTGGAGGCAGAGAGGTAGAGTTGGGTGTTGTCCGCATACGTGTGGAAGTTGACCCCATGTCTGTGGATGACGTCACCAAGAGGGAGCATATAGATATTAAAGAGGAGGGGACCAAGGACAGAGCCCTGAGGGATGCTGCACGAGACGGAGCGGGGGCTGGAGCCGAGGCCACTTGTGGAGATGAAGTGGGGATGATATGATAGGTACGATCTGAACCACTCAAGGACAGAACTGTGAAGGTTGAGGCGAGAGGAGACAGAGTATCTCTCTCCAGTGCGCTATTATTTTTTTGGGGCTCAGCCGGATGTTCTGACACATGTGGAAACCCATCACCATGTTTAAGAGTATCCAAATCAAGCTGGGATTTCCATGCATCCCACCTACACATGGAAATCCCAGCGATAGATTGTTGGAGTGGAATCCGCACTCTCTCCCTGGAGGGACGCAGCCTGCTTACATAATTATGGAAAGCATTAGGCGCAGGTTGGCAAGAGCCAAGGCTTGCGGACCTCAGAGTGTACGTTGAGGTAACTGCTGGAGTCTAACCAGCTGTCTGGCAAGCTTTCCCGCTGCTAGGACCAGACTACTCTATAGGGCTTTGTCTTGCAGGGTTTGCAAAGCCCTTCGCAGAATATATTTTAAAGTGGATCGACTGTGTATTTTGTGGCCGAAACGCGGCAGCCAATTGCGTACAGCAGTGTCCCACAAACAGCCGTGGATTGAGGTACCAAATTTTTTTTGGTGGGAGGGGTATATTACCCCTGGAAAACGATCCGCCAATCGACTAACAATGTCTGAACAAACAATGACTGTTGTAAACAGCCAGACCAAAGGAGGCTCCTAACAGAATTCTGAAGGGAGCACAGTTCCTGGTATCAGTCCAGTCGCTGGGTTTGTGTACCCGACGTCCAGCGTTCCTGGTTTTTCTTTGATCCCACTGGAGCCGTGGGCTGGGGCACGGCCGAGGAGACGTTCGTCAGTGAGCTGCGGAGTAAAGGTGACCTAGAAACCAGCCGGTGCTAATCATGTTAGTGAGGGATTATCCTGGGAATTGGGCTAATGATTAAGGCGACTGACTGACTGCCCTCGGAACCTGATGCAGTGTATTAACGGGGCTGGGAAAACACACCAGTGACTGCGTGTGAATTCCTGTGAGTTGTCATCTCTGCAGCTCGATTGTTTAATCTCAGTTTCCTGTAAATTTCGATCAGGGAATATGAAGGCGTGTGGGGCTACTTGCTGTGCGCGATTGGCTGCAGCGTGTCCTGTGAAGCGCTTTGAGACGTCTCAACGATGTGATAAGGCATTATATCAAATGCACGGATTATTATTATTATTATTACTTGCTGTTGGACAATGAAGTGGGACCTGAGACCAACTGGGGTCAGTTAATGGGGCAGATAGCATGAGCGCAGGGGGTTGGGGGGGAGGGAATGGGGGGAAATTGTACCCGAAAATTATCTTACTCTGTATCAGAGGGCAGCAAAACCCACTGTGTCACACCTGCCAGGTGGATGCTCAATACCCACACCCCACCCCCGCTTGACACTAATTCTCCTGGTATTTTAGCTAAACAATACCTCAGATTAGTCAGTCATTCACCCGCTGGCTATTTGTGAGATTTTTGCTGTGTGCAAAATGTAATAATAACCCTTCCAGTTGATAATAGCGCCTTATCACGTCGCTGAGACATCTCAAAGCGCTTAATAGGGTATACGGTAAAGTGGAGTGTGTTTCACGGGGGAAACACGGCAACCAATTGCACACAGCAACGTCCCACAAACGGCCATAAACCAGACGATTAATTTGACCTGGCGAATTGTCCTCCAAGCACACTGGAACAAACCCGCCTCCCTTTTAGAATAGCGCCACGGGATCTTGAAACCCCCGCCTGAACAGGCAGACGAGACCTCAGTTTAACATCTCCTCGAAGGACGGCGCCTCCGACAATGCAGGACACACCCCAGAACCGAGTGGACTGTTGAACCTGGTACCCGGGTGGGGGCAAGATCCTACCGGCTGCTGACTCAGAGCGAGAGGGCTGTCCCGTGAGCCAGGCTGACGCACTGCTGAGATCCGCTAAACTCTGTACAGAGAGAAACTCCTCGGGCTGAATGTCTGAGTGCTGCCCTGCAGGGGGGGATTTACCCACCGGGTCGATGTAAGGAGCTGGAAACTGGAGACGTGTTTTGACTGCTGCTTGTTATACAGTTTGGCCCATTCCCAGGCGGACTGAAGGCTGGTGAGATCTGATAGCGAGCCCCGTGCACCCTTGAGGCACTGGGTTGCCGTGTAAACAAGGCGAAGACCTAAACAAGAGAGCTTCAATCCAAGAGTTTCCTGATCTCTGGCCTCTCCGCGCCCGTGTCTGAGTGGAAGGGAGTGATTCAGTTTGAACTTTGATTCACTTTACGGCACTGAAGTTTACTTGAGTCACATTCCTCCACCCTTCACAGGGAAGGAAGGGCTGCCATTATACTCCCGCCTCAATCAAATCTCAGTCTTGTTGGAAGACGCTTAAAGCAAAGCCCTGTGAAGTGCTTTTTTTTTTTGACCTTTTAGTCACTCAATACTCAATCCACCCCTGTCTGTGCGGGACGTTGCTGTGTGCTGTCGGCCCCTGCATTTTGCCCGCAAAACACACAGCCAATCCACTGCGAAGCTCTTTGAGACGTTTTAACGACGGGATAAGGCCCGATGTTGAGTGCAAAGATTATTATTAATCTGGGGGATTGAGGAGGCTTGTCGGACTGAAGCCTCTCTGCCTCCTGATAGACATCCACTCCCTTCTCTCTAAAAGCAGCCTGTTCTCACCGTGGGAGGAAAATCCCAATCTGACTGGAGACCTCCCCCAGTTGGCTCGATGCCTGGTTTGTAGCATCTGGTGGGAGGCTGGGTGGGTGGGTGGATGGTAGGTCCTGGCAGGTGTGGGGAAGGTAGATCTTTCTAACTGGGATGGGTGGGTGGTGGGTGGGGGGGGGGGGTGGAAAGAAGGAAGCAGGCAGCAGGGCCGTTCCCAGTGTGGGGGTTGGGGAGGTGGGGAGGGGAGACAGCCTGACTGCAGGGCTGGCTGTTACGATCTGGGATTGCCAGATGGGCGAGCGCGGAGTTGATGTGACGCCAGCTGCCTGTTGTGACTTCAGTCGTGCATTTTCTTTCAGGCGCGGTCTGAGGAGCCGCTTTTCTCAGAATGATCCTCGCATTTGATCACCTCGTTGAAACGTCTCAAAGCGCTTCACAATATGCTGTAAAGTGGAGTGACTGCATGTTTTGTGGGCGAAATGCGGCAGTTAGATTTATGCACAGCAGTGTCCCACACACAGCCACGGAGCGAGTCATTTTATTTGGGGGGAATTGTTGACCAGGACACCAGGTGAGAGAAATTCCATTCTCTCTTCGAATTGCGCCATGGGATCTTTAACATCGACCCCGAACAGACAGGCGGGACCTCGGTTTAACATGTCATCCAAAGGACGGCACCTCCGACAATGCAATAACCCCCCAGCACTTCCCCTGGAGTCTCACCTTAGACTGTGTGATTCCAAGTCCCGACATGGAGCTTGAACCCACAACCTTTTGATCTCCGAGGTGAAAGTGCTAGCAACTGAGCCAGGTTGAGGCTGGGTTTGGGGGCAGTTGTGGCATAATAATAATAATAATAATAATAATAATAATAATAATAATAATTCTTGCATTTCATATAGCACCTTATCACGTCTTTGAGACGTCTCAAAGTGCTTCATGGGATATACTGCAAACTGGAGTGACTGTGTATTTTGTGAGTGAAACGTGAAGGGTGTAAGACGTGGTCTACGGCTGACAACTGTTTGTTGCGTTTCAGAGCCCCGGGGAAAGGGCTAAAATTCCTGGTGATGTTCTGTCCTCATCAGCACAGGAGTGGGAGCCCCACCTCGTCCTTTCAGGAGCTGTGGAAGCAGGAACGCTCATTGGACAGTAAGTATCATGTGCTGCTGGAAGAAACTGGTGGAGTTACATTGCTGAGATAACTGGAGCCGGACGTAGCATTGCATCAGGTAACAGCGAAGCTCCCTGTGCTCTCCCTGTGAACAAACCAGAGAGTCATTCAGAATTTCACCTCTGCGTCCGGACGACAGAGAAAACCGGAATTCATTTTTTTTCCTCAAACCAAAAAGTCGGGAATTTTCGTGCATGTGGGATGCTGGTGGATGGATTCTCAAGTCTTGGTTTAACTGCACCTGAAGAGGTAAGCTTCCCGTCCTGTCCTGTCAGTCCTGATCTGATCAGTCTGTTCGCCAAAAGGAGCTAAAATCACTAACCTCGCGGCGAGAGACTTATCATTAATAATAATTATCATTATTTTATTGTTGTTATTAGAATAATCCTTCCATTTTGATACGCGCCTTATCACCTCGTCAAGACCTCTTGAAGCCCTTCACGGGGTTTTAACTGTGAAATGTACTTGGTGAAGTTAAACTGCTTGTCCTGGGGTTAGATATATAATTTCGCCCACAAAATACAGTCAATTCACTTTACAGTGTATCAAGTGAAGCTCTTTGAGACGTCTTGACGACGTGATAAGGCACTATATCAAACACAAGGATTATTATTATCTTGTGCCCTGGTTTGTGAGTGCTGAACCTCTGAGCTGTAATGTACAGTTAGTTTCACTTGATTTCCATCCTGTTTCTCTTTCTCGCTCTCTCTCGCTCCTTCTCTCGCTATCTCTCTCCCCTTCCTCCACCTTTGCTGGGTTACAATTCTGTGACAGTTGCCTGTGCGGTTCTCTCACTCGTGTCTTTTTGTCTTTTCCTCGTGAGCGAGCGAGCAGTCAATGTTGGCAAAGGGGTACGGCCCCCAGCAGTGACCGATCCTGCCCTCCCCTTGTATCCATATGTTCCCGGTTGCTCGCTGCCATCGGGAGCAGCAATCCTGGTCTGGATTTTTCTCATTTCGTTCCCATCCTCCTCCCACTCTTACACTTGCGACGTCTCAACACCGCTCCCCTCCCCTCCATTCGGCGGGCAACCCTCGCCCGCCCCTACATTGGCGGACGTGGCCTTCAGCTTTTCTGTCCCCATCCTCTGGAACCCGAATCCCTCCACCTCGCCCCCTCCCGTGACTCCTTCAAGGCCTTCCTCTTTGACCGTGCCTTCGCTCATCCTTCCACCGCCCAAGCCCCCTCACTCCCCCTGCCCTCTTGATTCCAAACCCCTCCCTCCCATTCGGGAGCAAACCCTTACCTAACTGTCCAACATCTTGTGATGTCGTTACGACATGAAAGGCGCCGTGTAAATGGAATGTGTTTGTAGCCAAGGACGGCGTCAACCAGGATTCAACAGGAGACGGGGGCTGCCAGGCGGGGGCTGTGCGCTCCTTCTCACCGAATGTTCCAGGCTAAATAAAAATAATAATCATAATATTAATGATAATAATCGTTCTTTTTGATGGTATCACGTCGTCAAAACCTCTCCAAATCTCTCCATATCGTCAAAACCTGGCGTGATTTACTGTAAAGTGTAGTGACTGCGAATAGGCCTGCCGTGATCTCAGGTGAGCTTATCTCAGCTGCCCCTTGTACCTTGGAACTCCGTCCCAGAGATCCTCAGCCTCAACCCCTCCTCACCTTTAAAGCCAACCTTCAGGCCTTTCTTTTTGACCGGGCTTTTGGGTCCCACACATGCAGCATACACACATGCGCACACTACACACACGCGCGCACTACACACACGCGCGCACTACACACACACACACGCGCGCACTACACACGCGTGCACACCCACACACACACACAGGCGCACCGCACACACGCGCGCACCACACACACGTGCACCACACACCCACAAACACGCACCGCACACCCACAAACACGCACCGCACACCCACAAACACGCACCACACATACGCGTGGACCAAACACGCACACACCACACACATGCACGCACCATACACGCATGCGCACACGCACCAATAACCGAGTCTGTGAAAAAGCACGATGTAAAAATAATATTAAACAGCTCATAATAATTTGGTGACTCACTCCACGACTGTTTGTGGGACGCTGCTGTGCGCAATTGGCTGCAGCGTTTCACCCATAAAATACGCAGTCAGTCCACTTCCCAGTATATTCTGTGAAGTGCTTTGAAACGTCTCAACGATGTGATAAGGTGCTATATCAAACCAAGGATTATTATTATTATGTAAATGTATGGTTGTTATTGACCTACAGATTTGACTCATCGTATAACGATGGCTATGAACAGGACGTATCGCAAACCAGAGCCTATTTTTCATCTAAATGGAAAGTAGGACCCGGTGATTTTGAGGTTTCTCTCAGTTCTGCCCTAATGCAGTTACTCACTGAACCATCAGGGAAAGTGCTTTCCCTTTGAGAATGATCCGTGGTTTAACCCTTGAGGTGGCTGTGGGCATATCTGTGTCTGGGGTTCTGTTTCTCTGGCGAGATTTGGCGAGATGCTCGTTCGTTGGCTGTGCTAGAATCTGACATGTTAACCTGCGCTGATCCGCGAGGGCAGTTCACCTGACGTATCGGCGATTTGCTTCTCTCGGTTGCTGAGAGCACGGGCGGGCGTGGAGAGGCTAGTATTTTGACGTACAGCGACAGAGCTCCGTGAATCTCACCTACGGTTTCTCCCCCGGTGTAGAGAGTTCTGAGGAGCTGCGAATGAGCAAGGTTGACCAGCACAGGCCTCTACACTCCGCAGCGTCCGATCTGAGCCAGGTTAGAGGGGGCAGGACAGACGGGAAGGAGCTCCTCCGACCACACGATCAGCTGCTCACTGTGAAGGTAATCAACAGCCAGACACCAGCGACCTGGGGCTGCTTCTGGGAATTAACGCGTGGTTATAGAGCAGCAGAGACAGATTCAGGTTTACTTAATAATAATAGTAATAGTAATACTTTTAGTTATGTGTTTTACAAAATGAGGATTAATACCCCCACCTCCGCACACAACCATCTGATCCTTGGTGTCCAGATGACTGAACACGGTTTGGTTGTACGTGTCGTTGCCCGTGTTTAAGGAGCGATGCAGGTTTCAACTCGGATGGCGTGAAGCGTCAAGTTCTGTGGCTGAGCTTTCAGTGTTTGTGGTCCAATTCCTATTCCCGTCTCATCGTCCCGTCTTCCTGACGGAGCCCAGCGAAGCTCCTACTGCATTTCCTGCTCTCTCTCCCCCCCCCACCACCCGTCTCTTCCCTTCAGGAGCTACCTGTGAAGCCCGTCCTGTCTACTACTGTGGGAATTCACGTGAAGATGCAGATTCCACCTCCCGCCCCAGTAAATGTGGGAGTTTGGCACATTCCCAACATTTGTGCCAAATTCCCAACCAACATTCCCAAATGTTGGGAACAAATGAATGGGTGCGATTTAAATGGGAGATTGGCCTGTGGGAATCAAGTGGGAGTCCGAGAGGAGATGGGCGTTGGCTAACATTTGTCAATCCAGCTCTCACCTGGTTCTGACTCAACTGAGCTCCCGGCTGATCTCAGACGTGTTCGGTCTTGATCCCTGAGTTACCTTGTCAGTTAGTAACAGCTCTTTTGTTCAGTCTCCTCAGACTATGAGATTGTGAACGCTGTTTCCCAAAGAGTACTGACAGCTGCTGATGCTGTTTTTCTTTGGGTGGGGGGGGGGGGTTTGGGCGGAGAAAAGGGTCCTTTGCAACGAGGCTTTGTCCTGAGCTGTGAGTGTTGACCATCAGGACCGTAATTCATCAAACGCTCCAAGGCTGAGTATGACCACCACCCAATTAGTGTCTGGCCTCCATCACAGAGGGGGGTGAAATTCCTACCTTTGCTCCCCGCCCCCCTCCCCCCCCCCCCCCTCAACTCTCACCCCCGCACTGTTGTAGAGCCCCACCCTCATCCTCCAGACTTTCATAACTCACAACTTTTGGTTTGGTGCCAAAGAACCTTTGCAGTTGCCCAGGAGGAGAATTATCTGTTGTGGTTTGTAATGGTTTCTCTCAACCTCTCCTTTCCTCTCAACCCTTCAATGTCTCAGCAACAACAAAAAATTACCTTTGTATAGCGCCTTTCACTTTGGGAGGATGTCCCAAACCACTTTAGACAGTTGGCTGGGCACCCAAGACTAGTGGGGTGGGGGGGAAGGAGCTGAGGAGGGGTGGGAGAGATGACTGAAAACATGTGAAAGAGGCAAGTCGTAAGCCAGGCTGTAGAATTGGGACTTGAGGATGGAGTTCAGGAGAATGTATCCAGTGATGCTGGGGCGGAGGGGGAGGGGGACATGAAAGAGAAGGTGCAAAGGAGATTTACAAGGATGAGACCGGAACTGCGAGGTTATACCTATCGGGAAAGGCTGAACAAGCTTGGACTCTTTTCTCTCGAAAAGAGAAGGGTGAGGGGCGGACTTAATGGAGCTCTTTAAAATTCTGAAAGGTTTTGATAGGGTAGACATAGAGAAGATGTTTCCACTTTTGGGGGGAAGGTCAAAACCAGGGGCCATCAATATAACATAATCACCAATACATCAAATAGGGAAGTTAGAAGAAATTTCTTTACCCAGAGAGTAGGGGGAATGTAGAACTTGCTGTGCAAGAAGTTGTTGAGGCAAATAGCATAGATGTATTTAAGGGGAAGCTCGATAGGTACATGAGGGAGAAAGGAATAGAAGGTTATGCTTGAAGGTTTAGTTGAGGAAGGGCAGGAGCATAAACACCGGCAGAGACCGAATGGCCTGTTTCTGTGCTGTATATTCTATGTAACTCTCTGTGTTCAGCGAAGGAAATGGGTGGAGGAGGCGGGGAGTTGGGGGGGTTTCAGGAGGTTACAAGATGTAAAATAATTGCTACATACGTTAGTATAGACCTGAAGATCTTCTTCTTCGACCGTATGGTCACCTCCCCCTCGCTCAGCGTCAGGCTCTGCCACTGTTAAGCTTGTCACTACACCATGTGAAGGGCGCAATATAAATGTTTGTTGTCGTTGTTGTTGATCTGTGTGTGTGTGTGTTGGGGGGGATTTAAATGTGGTGGGGGAGGGGAAGAGGGGGATCCAGAGTTCTGGGATGGGCAGTCTGGAGGGGAGAGGAGGGGAATCCAGGTCCAGGATGGTGGTGGGCAGCCTCTTTGACCTGGTCTCTGACCCCCAGGGATCTCAGCAGTCGCTGCAGGAGGAGCCTGGCCAGCACGAGGTCCCGCTGCAGGATGACGAGACCGGGTACAAGCTGCCGGCCCCGGTACTGCACAAGAACAACAGCCACAAACTGACCTTCATCAGGAGCCTACAGGACGTAGTGCAGGAGGCCCAGCTCAGGACCGAGAACACAGGTGGGAGCCCCATTTCTCACCTGCGCTCGCTCACACTGGCTGAGATCCCATCATCTCGTCGTTCCCTGTGGTTTTCCCCCTCTCTATTCATTTTGCTCTAATTTCACACACTAGAGGTTTGGACACAGAAGGCGCTTTGACTCATTTGATCTCATCTCAGAAATAATCGATCTTCTCCTTTCTCCTTTACTGGAGACGTTTGACTGCTTTTCCCTTCCTGGGCTACATACAGCTCGATACTTTTTTTGGGGGAGGGGTGGGGGGGGGGGGGTCAGCCGCGTGTCTGCGGAAACCCATCACCGTGCTTAAGAGGATCCAAACCAAACTGAGAATTCCGTGTATCCCACCTCCACATGGAAACCCCAGAGATAGATTGTTGGATGGAACACTCACTCTCTCTCTCTCTCTCTCTCTCTCACTGGAGGGCCGCACGCTGCTTACCTAATTCCGGAAAGTATTAGGCGCAGGTTGGCAAGAGCCAAGGCTTGGGGGCCTCAGAGTTTGCGTTGGGGTAACTGCTGGACTCTTAACCAGCTAAAACCACATAGCTTGCCATTGATACAGCTCCAAGAACACATCTTATCTAATAACCCTTGCGATTCTGTCTCGTGTTTGGTCCAAGTGGTTAACTGTGTCTGGGAGAAGCGATCACTGGCTGGGTCGGGGTCTCTCACACCTGCTGTTCCTCGTGTCCCCCAGGCAGCAAGGTTCCCCCTCCCTCCAGCCCAGCAGGGCGGTCACTGAGCGCAGTGAGGAACCTGATTGACATGATCAACGCTCTACAGGAGGACAAAGTGCGGCTGCAGGAGGAGCTCAGTACCAGGGAGAGCAAGTGCCAGGTGCGGAGCGGTGCTCCCCAGTGTGAGGTACTGAGGGCCGGGGCTAAGGGAGGTGCTCTGTGTGTGTGTGTGTGTGTGTGTGTGTGTGTCTGCTCAGCACAGCTTAGGTTAATAAGGGAATCTCTTTCTCTCCCCCCTTTTCCCCCCCATTTCCAATTACCCTTCTTCTCTCTGAAGTCGCTCAGTCGCCCACTCTGATACCTCGTCCAAGTGACCATTTCTCTTCCACAATGGTAGCCTCAAGATGGTCTGTGTGGAAGCTTCACAGCTGAGGCTGATCCTATCCTTTTCGCCGACGTCCACAAGGACACACACACACGATCACTTCCCCGCTGGATAGGGATCAGGGGCTGGATCTCCGGATGCTATAATGTCCTTTTCTAGCCCAGGGCACTGAGGGCACTTGCTTTGCTCCTGTGACTCCCTCAATTAAGATGGAACTCACTCAGTGCAGATAATAATAATAGTCATCCTTGCACTTGATATGGCAATGCCTTATCCTGTCATTGGGACGTCTCAAAGCGCTTCACAGGATTTACTGTAAAAGGATTGACTGTGTATTTTGGAGCCAAAACTTGGCAGCCAGTGGCGCACAGCAATGTCCCATAAACAGCCGTGGAACGAGTGACCACAGGGAGAGAAGCTGACCACAAGTCCTGGGACTGGAGATTGTGGCAAACTGTAACCACATTGCCTTTGCTTACAAAATAGTCACTGCACATTGTAGTAAATCCTGCCCAGTACTTCGAGACGCGAAAGGCGCTACATCAAACGCCAGATTATTTCTCAACCATTATAAATCCAGGGTTATTTATTGTTTCAGCACTGACTCTCTGTTCAGGGATTTGTCTTTTTAAGGCAATCGTTTGCCTCCCTTCTTCAGTTCTTGAAATGTTTTGTGTTCCCCAACTATTTAAATATTAAAGGAAACCAAAACATATTCTTCCCTGATCCACGTATAATCGTATAAAATATATATTCACTCCAATAATTCAAATTAATTGGCTCATTCGCCCACAAATCATTCACTCCACTTATAGTATATGTTGTGAAAGAGCTGGCTTTTCCCCGTTTATCAAATGCAATCCTTATTATTGTAATAACATTAATTTATTTCAAATTAACCTCATTGTGCAACGAGCTTCAAGGCCTCTCTTTGATGTGAAAAAGTATTGTGTAAATGTAGGATGTCATGTCCTACAGCAATTGTAGTGGGATGAAGTGCCGAGGGTTGCCAGAGCTGTTTGTGGGGGGGTGTGAGGGTGTGTGAGAGAGTGAGGGTGTGGGGGTGTGAGAGAGAGCGTGTGTGTGAGAGCATGTATGTGTGTGTGAGAGCGAGAGCATGTATGTGTGTGAGAGCGAGAGTGTGTGTGAGAGCGAGAGTGTGTGTGTGAGAGCGAGAGCATGTATGTGTGTGTGAGAGCGAGAGCATGTATGTGTGTGAGAGCGAGAGTGTGTGTGTGAGAGAGAGTGTGTGTGAGAGCGAGAGCATGTATGTGTGTGTGAGAGCGAGAGTGTGTGAGAGAGAGCGAGAGAGAGAGGGCGTGTGTGTGTGCGTCTCTAACTCTGACAATGTGCCTACAGATCGGGGATTTGGAAGGAAAGCTGACAGACCAGACACAGAAACTGAGCACATTGTGTTCCGAGCTGGTAAGACTCCGAGCTCATGCTTGTTGAAATCCAGTCGCTGTGTAGCAGACCGCCGTGTACCAGCGTCACAGAGCCCCTCTGTGTTCACAGGGCACAACCGACCTGGAGAAGCATTTGGAAATCCTGGTCGTGGAGAACGACCGGCTGAAGCAGGACCTGAACGGCAGCCAGCTCCAGCTCCGGCACCTGCGACGCTCCCTGTCCGGGTGCTCCAAGTGTGACCATGTCGAGGTACGTCCCAGCAGCGGGGGGGCGGCTGGCAAAACACCTCCCTCCGACCGCGCAGCCTTCCGTGCCATCACGTGGGAAAATCTTCCTGCCGAAACAGAAGGGACCGGTCCAGAGTCTCGAGCGGTGACTGTTAGACCCCGGGGCCGAGAGTGGGGTCGGGCTTTCAAACCACGCGGGGATGTTTGTGACGTCAAACGAGGCAGCAGCGTTCACACACAAGGGGAAGAGCAGCCAATTCATTTGAACGTGTTGGTTTGAGCTGTGAGCTGTGTTGACCTCCACACTGTGAGCTTGGAGTCCTGTAGGGTAGTGGTTAGAGCACTCGCCTCGTAAAGTGAGAGCAGGGCAGGGCGAAACCTCAGGCAAGTTTCCTTACTCCACACCTGTTTCCTGCTGCTTGTCCAGCTAGGACCACCCTCCCCATTCGCAACATAGGAACAGGAGCAGGCCATTCAGCCCCTCGAGCTTGTTATGCCATTCTATAAGATCATGGCTGATCTGTACCTCAACTCCAAATATCCCTTGATACCCTTACCTAACAAAAAAAAATCTGTCGATCTCAGTCTTGAAAATTTGAATGGATCCAGCCTTTTGTGGGAGAGATTTCCAGGGCTTTGGCTTACAGGGTTAACGGGAGATGAGTGGGAAGATTCTGCCCCCGCCCCCCCCACCCCCCACCTGATCTTCACCTGTTGCTGATCTAATTTTGGGAGGATTCACAGCTACGAGAGAATCTGAGATAGGGAAATAGTTTTTTTTTTAATTATTTGTTTAGTTAAATATTGTAGTGCTGAGAGCAAGGCTGAGGTCAGGCCCCTCTCACTGAGGTGGTTGAACATTTATCCCAATCTTGGCAGATACAAACCTTTCCCAGGTTTGTGTTAACAATGAAATGCCTGTATTTCTCCCTGTGCGTCCCTGACCCAGTGCCTTCCCTCTCCATCTCGTTCGTTGACAGTTGTGGGAGAAACATTCACCCATCACTCAGCCTGGCCCAGCCGGTAGCTCTCTTGTCTCTGTGTCAGAAAGCTGTGGGTTCGAGCCCCACTTCGGGATTTTGTTGGGATAGAGTCTACGCCGATGCTCCAGTGCGGTGCTGGGTGGGAGCAAAGCAATGTTGGTTGGATGAGATGTTAAATCCAGGTGTACACCTGGCTTTTAAGGTGGATATTCAACATCCCGCGACACTATTCTAAAAGAGAAGTGATTTTCTGGCCAATATTCCCCCATTTACAATTGGCCTTTGACTGTTTGTGGGATATAGCTGTGTGCAAATTGCCTGCTGCATTCACCTACAAAATTCAGTCACTACACTATACAGTATAACCTTATAAAGTGGTCTGAGTCATGAACAACAACAAGATACATTTGTATCGCGCCTTTCACGTCGGGAGGACATCCCAAGGCGCTGGACAGAGAACAGAATTTCAGAAATACAGTATATGGTGAGGATTATTATCTACTCGCCAATGGTCTGATCTTGGACTGGTTGACCCCGTCTTTCGGATGAGACGTTAAACCGAGGTCCCATCTGCACCTGGTCAGGTGGACGTTAAAGATCCCATTGCACTATTGGGAAAGAGAAGGGAGTCTCTTATCTCCTGGTGTCTGTCACCCAAATAAAATTGGTCATTCGCTCCACAGCTGTTTTGTTTCCCCACAAAATACACAGTCATTCCACTTTACGGTATATCCCGTGAAGCGCTTTGAGACATCTCGAGGACAAGATGAAGTGTTACATCAAATGCAAAGATTATTATTATTATGTTGTTGCCTATTTACTGATCTGATCGTAGGAGAATTCCCAGCTCCGTGAGCGACTCTCACGTGCGCAGGTGGAGCTGAAGAAGACGACTGAGCACCTGTCGGAGCTGGAGCTGGAGGTTCAGCGTAAGACGGAGCATGTGTCGCAGTTTGAGCAACACCTGCAAGACGTGCTGCAGGGGAAGGCGGAGATGGAGGAGGGACTGAACAAAAGGATCAGGGACTATCAGCTGACCCTGGCCAGGCAATCCACCCCTCCGGTCAAGGTAAGAGACTCATCTCTTTGAGACCTCACAACTGTCCAAAACCAGATGATAATTGATGATAATAATCATAATCATAATCCTTCCATTTGATACAGCGACTTATCACGTCTCCGAGACGTCTCAAAGCGCTTCACAGGATACACTGTAAAGTGAATTGACTGTGTATTTTGTGGGCGAAACGCAGCAGCCAAATGCGCACGGCAGCGTCCCACAAACAGCCGTGGATTGAGTCACCACATTTATTTATTTTTGGAGGGATTATTACCCCCCGGAAAGTGATGCGCCAGTCGCTTAACAACCGTGTTCCTAGTTGGGACTAAGTGAACAGAGGTGTGTGGAGTCAGGGGAATTGCCTAAAATTTCACCTTGCCGGGAATCGAACCTGGCTCTTCTTGCTTGCGAGGCGAGCGCACTAACCACTACACTAACAGGGTTACTTTGCGAACATCTGTCGTCTTTCAGCTCGGGGTGCGGTACATGCGTGTGGTACGTGGGTGTGTGGGTGTTGCTAATGGTGTGAGCATCTGCGCTGTGTGGTGGGGCGGTGGGGAGGAGGAGAAGGGGCAGCAATTCGGGGAGGGTTGGTGTTTGTTTGCTGACCTTTTCGGAACCGTACGCAGTACATCACCAAAACAGTGCAAGTGGAATCAGCCAAGACAAAGCAAGCCCTGGAGGAGGCTCAGGGCAGGAATCAGTACCTTCAGGAGCAGGTGGCAGTCCAGAGGCAGGTCATACATGAGCGGGAACAACAGCTCCAAGAGTCCTGGCACAACACAGCAAAGCTTCAAGCTCAGGCAAGTCCTTGACCTCATCCAACTCACAACCGCATGAGATGGAATTCCAGGCATTAAAGATTAACGCCAATTCTCTACATTCTCCCCTCAGGTCAGGAAATTAAGTCATTGATTACTTTTCAAGGTGCGGAGAGTCATTGTGTCTGTCTGTTTGATCTCTGCTCTGCGCCGGCTTTTCTGTCAGTAGAAATTCTCACTTTACAATACAATACAAAATTAATTTGTATAATGCCTTTCACATCTGGAGGACATCCCAAGGCGCTGGCCCTTTAGGAAGGATGTCAAGGCCTTGGAGAGGGTGCAAAGGAGATTTACCAGAATTATACCAGACTCCAGACTAGAGAGGCTGGAATTGTTCTCTTTAGATCGGAGAAGATTGAGAGGAGATTTCATAGAGGTTTTCAAAATTACGAGGGCTTTTGATAGAATAAACAGGGAGAAACTGTTTCCTCTGGCAGGTGGGTCGGTAACCAGAGGACACAGGGTTAAGATAGTTGACAAAAGAACCAGAGGGGAAATGAGGAGAAATATTTTTATCCAGAGAGTTGTTATGATCTGGAATGTACTGCCTGAAAGGGTGGTGGAAGCAGATTCGATAGTAGTTTTCAAAAGGGAATTAGATAGGTACTTGAAAAGGAAACATGTGCAGGGCTATGGGGTAAGTACTGGGGTAAGTGGGACTAGTCGGATGGGTCTTTCAAAGAGCCAGCACAGGCACAATGGGCCAAATGGCCTCCTTCTGTGCTGTAAGTTTCTATGATTACAGATAATCTCTGAGCAAAGAAACCGACTAGAGAATATGGTTCCTCTTCACATCATCCTAATTGCATTCGAGTTGTCCCCATTTGATACAATGTCCAACCTGTTGAGTGTCCTTCTGCCCTGGTGCTAACGGTACTTGCTCTAACCCCTGCAGATCATGATCTACGAAGCGGAGCTGGAGAGGACCCGTGGGGAGATGTTAGAGGAGCTGCAGTCAATGGAGGAAGAGAAGAACTGTGCCATCGAAGAGGCTTTCCTGCGAGCCCAGTCCGAGATGAAGGCAGTCCATGAGAATCTGAATGGTGGGTGACGTGGAAGAGCTGGGTAATGGGAGGTGGTGAGTGGGTGCGGGGGGGTCCTCTTAGTCTCCTGGTCAACAGGCCTCCAGAGACAATTGGTCATTCACTTCCTGGCTGTTGGTGGGATGTTGGGACATGGCTGTATCTGACCTTCACCATTGGCTCCCCGGTATCTGCAGGTGTTCGGATGAACCTCCTCTCAGTCCAGCCCGCCCTCAAATCCCTGACTAATGATTACAACTGCCTGAAGCACCAGGTCCGGGATTTTCCGTGTCTCCTTCAGGACGCAATCTGCCAGACCAAGGAGGAGGTGAGCAGATGGTGACAACTCCCTTTGGAGGGTTTTTATCACAGGGAGCGGGCGGGAGTGGGGTGGGGAATGGGACTGAGTTAATTTATAGCTAGCGTGGAGTGTGAGGCTGATGTGATTGTTGCTGGGGGGAGGGGGAAGAGACTCAAGGTCTCATCACCCCACCAATATCTCACAGTCTTGCGTGACTGATGATAATAATAATAATAATAATAATCCTTGCATTTGATATCACGCCTTATCACGTCATCAAGACGCCTCACAGAATATACTGTGAAGCTAATTGATTGTATATTTTGTGGACGAAACGCGGTGGCCAATTGCGCACGGCAACTGCAATAACTTAGTTATGTTTTGCAATTCGGGGACCGTCCATCAGTCACTACATACAACAACAAATCACACTCGCAAAGCCCCCTTCACGTCAGAAAGACGTTCCAGGCCGCGAGATAGTCAGAGTTTTTTGGACCCGAGCTGGAACAGGCAACTTCTGGAACAGGTTCCCTAGGGAGACAGACTGCGGCAGCGGAAAATGTTTGTTTCAAGAGCAAGTGAGATGGATACAGTCCAAGCGGGTGTGACTCCAGGGCTGGAGCTGAGTTGCCATTGACCTCTCCACTTCTCGTGTCTCAGATCTTCCAGATGGTGGAGGAGGTGAAGGAAGTGAACCGTGACCTGCTCCACAAATACAAGCGGGAGATGCAGTTGAGGAAGAAGTGCCACAACGAGCTGGTGAGGCTCCGAGGTGAGTCTCCTACACCATGTGTCCAGAACTACTGATGGGGGAACAGTGACCTGCAGTTGATGGTCCATCCAAAATGGCTCCTCGGGCTCAATCCCGTTTCTCTGAACCCTTCTTCTCTGCCGTTTCCTCAGGTAACATCCGTGTGTTCTGCAGAGTCCGGCCCATCACCAGGGAGGACGGAGATGGGCCCGAGACCAGGGGCGTGGTGTCCTTTGACTCCGATGATGACGGTGTTCTGTATGTGTCGTACCGTGGCAAAACCTCAGTGTTTGAGTTGGATAAAGTGTTCCCACCACACGCCCTGCAGAACGATGTGAGTGAACCCAATACAACAACAAGATTACATTTGTACAGTGCCTTTCACGGGTACAATTACAGTCTTTAAGACTCTGAAGGGACTAGATAATGTAGACCACGATAAGCTGTTTTATCTTGTACTAAACAGTAGAACCAGAGGACGCAGACATTGAAAGGGGGTGAATTCAGAACAAATCGGCGGCAACACTACTTCGGTGAGCGAGCAGCAACCGTATGGAACGGGCTCTTGCATTTGATACAGCGCCTTCTCATTGAGCCGTCTCAAAGGGCTTCACAGAATAAATTGCAAAGTGAATTGCCTGTGTATTTTCTGGGCGAGATGAATGGGGGAATTCATGCCCGCGATGCTGCTGGTCCACCAAATACACAGTCACTACACTTTACAAAGCTGTGAAACGCTTTGAGACGTCTCAATGACGTGATAAGGCGTTAGATCAAATGCAAGAATTATTATTGTTGTCCTCCAACCCCTCTCTCAATAGTTGGATTTACACACCTTGGAGTCTCTTTGGTAGTTAAAGGATTGAGGGAGGTTTGTTGTGAAGAGTTTCCTTGATCTTTAAAAGCCTCAAAAGGAGAATGTTAAACTTCTTCTCTTCTCCCAGGTGTTCCAGGATGTCCAGGCCCTCATCACTTCCTGCATCGACGGTTACAATGTCTGTATATTTGCCTATGGTCAAACGGGCTCTGGCAAGACCTACACCATGGAGGTGAGGTCCATTATGGTTATTTTATCACAACTGAACTACTGGAGAGATTGGTTGGGATTCAGGGAAATGGCACAAATGCTCCATAATAATTCTAACAACAATAATACTATTAGTATTTTGTACAGTGCCTCATCATGTCGTTAGGCTAGAAATATACAGTCACTCCATTTCACAGTGAAGTGCTTTCAGACGTCCTAACAACAACAACAGCAAGATTCCATTTATAGAGCGCCTTTCACGTTGGGAGGACATCCCAAGGCGCTGTACAGTTGGGTCAGGACCCAAGCAGGGGGGAAATGGTCAGGGTGAGGGGAGGGAAGGGAGGAGCGAGGAGGGGGTAGAGAGTCGAGAGGGGAGCTGAAGGCACAGTCAAAGAGAAAGGTCTTGAGACCGGCCTTGAAGGAGGAAAGGGAGGAGGCGGCGAAGGCACTGGGGGATGGAGTTCCAGAGCCTGGGGGCTGAGAGGCTGAAGGCCCTGCCACCGATGGTAGGGCGGTTGGGGCGGGGGATGTGGAGCAGACCAGAGCCAGAGGAACGGAGGGTACGGGCAGGTAAGTAGGGGGATAGTAGGTCAGAGAGGTAGGAGGGAGCAAGGCCGTGAATGGCCTTGTAGGTGAGGATGAGGATCTTGAATTCGAGATTACAAGACCTTGAACGAGCCAGAGAAGGGGGTCATATGTGCCAAGCAACCCCCACATGCCTTTACAACCAACGGCACAGTCAGTGTAGTTGCAAAGCCTTGGCGCGGATTATATTGTCACGTTCTGTCCACGACTGTTTGTGGGACACTGCCGTGCGTAATTGGCTGCCGCGTTTTGTCCACAAAATTCCACAGTCAATCCACTCTACAATGTATTCTGTGAAGTGCTTTGGGACCTCTCAACGATGTGATAAGGTGTTGTACCAAGAATGATTATTACTATTATTTTATTTCCTCAGGGAACGCCCAAGAACCCCGGCATTAACCAGCGAGCCCTGGGGCTCCTGTTCAGTGAGGTGGCGGAGCGCTCGGAAGACTGGGACCTGACCATCACCGTCAGTATGGTGGAGATTTACAACGAGACCCTCAGGTACTGCCAGCAAGAACATGGGAAATCCGCAGGGACGAGCGAGAGGAACCTTGGGCGTGATGGTATTTTGAGTTCCGAGGCCACCCGAGGCTCTGATCACTGACGGTCTTCTCTCTCTTTCTCTCTCTCTCTCTCTCTCTCTCTCTTGTTTTAGAGACCTCCTGGGGCCTGATCCCCAGAAGATGCAGGATCTGATCACGAGGTTACCAATGTTCACATGTTAATGGGAGTGTGATGGGAGCAATGCTTTGGCAAGGCTGTAGCGTTCTGTGTGTGGAAGCTTGACTCTGGCAGGTTTTCAAGCGGCTCCATTCCATCCTCATTCCCTTGCTTTCGATCACTCTGTCTGCTTCCTTCGTCATCAGGTTAATCCTTGGTGCCAGTGACCCTGGGAGCCAGGCCTTGAATACCTTCACTTTGAGAGCACCAAAAAAAAAACAGCAGGAAATCTCATAAGATTGGTTTGGTCTGATCTTATCCTTTCAGACATCTCATACCCACCCACTCACTGTCCTCCCATCGCAGTATCGAGCTTAAACAAGTCCCAGCATCTTGGCCTCAACCCACCCTCTTGGTAACCAAGTCATTCCAATCATTAATTATCCTCTGGGCAAGGAAATTCCCAGAGAACCCGGTTGTTAGTCTGGGGGTAATAATCCCTCCAAAACAATAAATAAATAAATAATTTGGTCAATCGCCCCACGGCTGTTCGTGGGATGCTGCCGTGTGTAATTGGCTGCTGCCATGTTTGACCCATAAAATACAGTCAATCCACTTTATAACATAGCCTGCGAAGCGCTTTGAGGCTTCTCAATGATGTGATAAGGCTCTATATCAAATGTAAGAATTAAGATTATTATTATTATGATTCCTGGTGTCTGACCTGAAATCGCCCATTGTGATTTTCTAAACCTGCCTCAATAACTGTGCAAAACTAGGCCACGAGGACACGGGCGTTGGTTTAAAATTAGTGCCAAATTCTTTGTGGTGAAGCCACAACCCAACTCGGAGCTGGTTCACTGGAGCAGTGGGTGCTTCAAAGGATCCAGATGAAATGCCATTGCTTGAAGTCAGCTGAGTCCCTCTTGCCTGGGGCACAGCCTTTTGGGAGACAGATGTCAAGCGGGGGCAAGGTTTATTTGAAGTAGAATTGCCAGCGAGAGCCAGACCAGGCACAAGTGCTTGACTTATTGGTGCCAGTGGGTCTTGGAGCTGAAGTTGTGACAGTGCTGTCTATTGGGGCTTCTTTAGCTGCTGTTCTGGCAGGTTATTTTTCTTAAGCACTGAGAAAGCTCTGCATTCAATCCCTGAAGATCCTGAATATCCAAACAGGAAAATTTGCTTTTCCCTAATTTTCTGCCCTTGGGCTCCTTGAAGGTTGTTACTCTTCTTGAGTTAGTTTTCCCCGGTTCTGATATCACGGGGAGTGAATGCTGGGGGGGAAGAGAGGAGACTGGCCTATTAAACTGACCTAGTGGTGGGGGGGGGAGTGAACTCCTACAGAATCCACTCTTCGTGTCTCTCCTCCTGCTCTTTCTCCTCCCATCTTTGAGACTGTTCTCATTTCATCATCATTCTTTCTCTCGCTCGATATTACAGCAAACCGCTACCCAGCCTAACCCCCGTTTAACTGACGGCATCTTGCCTGGCGGGTTGTGTTGTGCCTCGCACGTCCTGTGATGTCTCGTCAGGTTTCTGGCCAGAACTTCTCACTGCGTCTCTGCTCCAGAATGTCCCTCCTTTCAGCAAATGCCTCTGCCATGTAATGTCCCTATCTGGCGCCCGCTGCCTTCTCTGCTCTCTGGCTTTTGGTGTTCGCTTCTGGCCTGGGAAAGCCGCTGGTTTTATGGAACGACCCTGGTCTGCTCGCTCGGGGTTTCACCCCTCACAACCGGCCTGTGTTTTTCCTCCACAGGAACTTGTTGAGCAAAGATCTCAACGAGAAGCTGGAGATCAAGCTGAACCCTGATGGCAGCGGCCAGCTGTATGTTCCTGGCCTGACCGAGATCAGAGTGAGGAGCGTGGAGGACATCAACAGGGTGAGCGGAGGCACGGGCACAGTTATCTTTGTGGGGTGTTGTTCTCAGCACCTCAGAAAGCCGCGAGACTCTACCCTGTGTGAATGGCGCTGTATACATGCGAGTTATTGTTTGTTGGAAAATGGAAACTTTTTAGATAGAGAGAAATGGCACTAAAATTGGCTAAATTCACACTGCAATTCATATGTTTGGAGATGGCTTGGTGTGAGAAATGCCTCGCTGAGCTCTGCTGTTTCTCTCTCTTCCCCACCTCCCCAGGTATTTGAGCTGGGGCGCTTGAATCGAGCCACCGACTGCACTAACGTGAACGAGCGCAGCTCCCGGTCTCACGCTCTGCTTATAATCTCGATCGCTGGAACCAACACAACGTCAGGAGTCAAACGAACAGGTACTGCGTTGGGGCAGAGACTTGAGCTGCCTGTCCCTTGGCCTTCACCCCATGTGATCGTGGGGACTGTCGGTCACCATTCACTTTAATCCTTTCATCTAAAATGGACAGGGCTTGATTTATTGGTGCCAATGGGTCTTGGAGCTAGAGTTGTGACGACGCTGTCTATTGGGGCTTTAACTGCTATTCTGGCAGATTATTCTTCCTAAATACTGAGGAATCTCATGTACAGGCAGAATGGCTTCCAGAGCTAGATCGGCAAATAAACAGCATAAGCTTATTGGCTGTGGTGTCTCAGTCCCGGCCTCCCGTATCCAAAGGGCTGGCTGTGTGGGAGCCTCAGCAGTGAGTGTTGGCGGCTACTCAACTATAGAGGGCCACACAGCCAAGCCTGACCTCTGTTAACCAGGCTGCCACAACAACAGAGGGTGTTGAAGAGGAAGCCTGGCTGGTTTTCCCCTCTCTGAGACCATTGGAAGCCAATTTAATATTAATAGTAATCCTTGCATTTGATATTGCGCCTTATCAGGTTTTCAAGACGTCTCAAAGCGCTTCACAGAATATACTGTAATTTACCCTTCTCATCAACCCCGGCTGAGAGCAGCAAACTCCGCACGGACTGGGGTTCAAACCAGTGACCCATCGAGCTCAGTCTGTTTTTTTTTGTGGAGGGGATCAACCACCTGGTCTGACACACGCAGAAACCCATCACATTGCTTGAAAGTATCCAAACCAGGCTGAGAATTCCACGCATCCCACTTGCACATTGAAATCCCAACGATAGATTGTTGGATGGAACATGCACTCTCTTCCTGGAGGGAGGCATCCTGCTTATCTAATTCCGCAAAGTATTAGGCACCGGTTGGCAAGAGCTAAGGCTTGTGGACCCCAGAGTGTGCATTGGTACATTGCTAAATATCCTTCTTTCGAGGAGTTTCTTTATACAAAAGGTGCTGTATTAACATAAGCTATTATTCTGCACCGGACCCAAATACCAGACTGTTGGCTAATATCCAGCACTCTTGTTTGATCTCTCACCGATCCCTGATCTTTGCTGCAGGAAAACTAAACCTGGTGGACTTGGCTGGTTCCGAGCGGGTTGGCAAGTCGGGGGCAGAGGGCCACCGGCTGAGAGAAGCTCAGAATATTAACAAGTCGCTGTCTGCCCTCGGAGACGTGATTTACGCCCTGCGCTCCAAGCAGTCCTACATTCCCTTCCGCAACTCGAAGCTCACCTACCTGCTCCAGGACTCGCTCAGCGGAGACAGCAAAACACTCATGATGGTGCAGGTGAGACTCCCATCACAAGCTAAAGCATTTGCTGATTCAAAGCTGGTAATCCAGTGCTCTCGCTTCTGAGTCAGAAAGTTGTGGGTCTAAGCCCCATGTTGGGTTTTGGAATCACATAGTCTAAGCTGATGCTCCAATGCCGTGCTGTGGGGGGGGAGTGGGGGCTGTTGCATTGTCAGAGGTGCCGTCCTTCGGATGAGTTGTTAAACCGAGGTCCCGTCTGCCTGTTCATGTGGACGTTAAAGATCCCATGGCGCTATTCGAAAAGAGTAAGGACATTTTGTAGATTGGGAAACTGGATGATCAGTGTATAAACCAAGCGGGTGGGGGTGGTTGGGAGGTTGCCCTGTGTTTGGGTTTATATAGAAAAAACAAATGTATATAATTTCAGCAATCGAATGCTCCCCTGCATGAAGGGCAGTATATAAATGTACGTTGTAGTTGCTGTTGTATAACGTGTGCGTATCTATGTAATAGGTCTCTCCGATTGAGAGGAGTGTCAGTGAGACGGTTTGCTCGCTAAAGTTCGCCCAGAGGGTCCGATCCGTGGAACTGGGGGCGATGGGGCGAAGAACTGAGAACCACTATTCCCCCAGCCGCCCAGATAGTGAGGTGAGAGTGACCGGCTCACAGCAAGTGTAAGCCTAGTGCACACTGCGAGCTGCCAGCTGTATGTTACTAAGGAGTAGAAAGGCCCTGTATAATTGCAATATGTTATTGGTGTCTTTGTCTCTGTCTCTCTCTCTCTCTCTGTATCCCTCAGGTAAGCTCCCACCAGCCAGCCCTGTCCCAGCTTGTGGGAGCTTCACTGGTACTAAACCAAACGGCCTCAGGACAGACTTGTCTATTGTTTCCCTTTCCCAGCTGGAGCCACCTCCTGTGATGGTCCAACCAGGAAGACTGTCTTACAGTCAGCCAGGATTTACTGTGGGAAGGAGCTCACTGAGCGGCAGGAGAAAACTGCCCGCAACAGGTATGTAAGTGTTGCCGAGGGGGAACAGCTTTAGGAGGATTGAGAGAATGGTTGTGGTCGGGCAGGAATTCAGTGCAGTTTAATTCTTTGTGCCAGTTCTCTCCCCTGCTCTGCTCCCAAAGTCACTGACTCAGGCTGGAGTAGAGCTTCACTGGTATGCTCTCTACTGTGTCTGATAGTCTGCACCTCAATGCATGGAGGACATCACAGCCAAACCTGATCTGGTTCTCATCTGATGTCCTCATGTCACCTTCCGACAGGAGATATTTCTCCTTAACAAAGGCCAAATGTAGATATTTATCTCATTTCCTCCACCCGACCGAGATCAGTTAATAGTAATTGCATTTGATATAGTGCCTTATCACACCATTGATGCTCTTCACAGAATATACTGTAAAGTGTAATGACTGTATATTTTGTGGGCGAAATGCGGCAGCTAATCGCGCACAGCAGTGTCTCACAAACAGTCGTGGAATGAGTGACCAAACTTTTTTTTGAAGGGATTATTACCCCCGGAAAGCGATCCACCAATCGACTAACAACCGGGTTCCTATTTACTGCTGGGGAAACAGAGGCGTGTGGTGTAAGGAAATTTGCCTAAGGGGAGAGCCTTCAGCCACTCTGCCCCCAACCTCTGGAATTCCATCCATAAATGCAAGTTGTTGTGGAATGAATATTGTTGGGGTTTGGGAGTTTTTGAGGAGCCAGTGGATGGGGTGGATTTTGGGAATGCTGTCGATGCTTTGTAGATAAATCACTTTTGCTCATTCCATACTTATAAGTTTAAAAAAAAAATCCCTCTCCCCGCACCCCTCCACCCCACAAAAGAATTGGTCTCTCAATCCACGACTGTTTGTGGGACGCTGCTGTGCGCAATTGGCTGCTGCATTTCGCCCACAAAATACATAGTCTTTACAATGTATTCTGCAAAAGGTTTTGATAAGGCAGGATTGTTATTATTATATTATAAAAAAATTAACTACTTAAAACCTTTAAGCTTCATACTTTTCTAGGTTGGAACGTGGGTTCTGTTTGGATGTGACACTGATGTATACACTTTCTCCTTCTCCCTCTCCCCTCTTTCCCTCCCCCAGGTGAAATAAGCATCCGACCTGGACCAACATAGCTGCCTCCGCTCTCAGGAGTGGTTCAGGAGCAGTGACCTGTCCCAATTCACTGTGTTGCACACTTTCCCACAGTCCAGTCACAGACTGAAGCAGCAGCAGCCCATCACTGTAGGTTCACGCAGTCGCCTGGACATTTCTTGCAGAATTTTTTTTGTTTTTGTTTTAAAAGAGTCGATGCACAGAATAGAGGCCATTTATCTATTGTTTTTTTATACACAGATTTTTATATTGTCTACTTTTTTTATTCTGCCATTTGATGTCAGGAATTGCAGAAATGTATCCCGTGAGCTCCAGAACAAATCACTGACGGCCCTTTCTCTCCAACAGCCCACCCCCCCACGCACCTTTGTACAGATGCACACACTGTCTTTTCTCTTCACTAAGTTGTTTGGCTGTCTTGTGTCTTGCATAGCATTGTACAGTAATGTCTCGCTGGGCTTTGCAGGTGTGTTACATTCTGAGGTTGCTTGAGGGAGCGCAGGGAGTTGTACACTGTGACCCAGTTGTGCGAACTAATGCAATCATTTACTTGAAAGTGTCAGTGCCACCACTTAAACTTGCTGCTGTCTGCAGAACATTTGTAGGTGCAGTACATATAGGCATATATAAGCAATGAGCTTTACAGATCAGCAGGATTCCAGATTAAATCCCTGCCGTGTCCTAACTTAACTGATCTCTAAACCGCAGCAGGAAAGGGGTGCTCCTGTGCTAGAGGGAGATCAATACGCAACGTAGACACCCAAATCCAACGGCTGATGCTCTGTGTCCTGACGTCAGGAACGGGTGAGATGTTGGGCAGCTGGCCCAGTGTGAACCGGTGCTCTCAGGAGGAGATGGGAATCAGAGGGAAGATGAAGGAGGGAAAGTTAAACCGAAGGTTTCACAGTCAAAGTGTTTTCCAAACAATTTGCTTCGTTAAGACTAAGCGCAGATTAAAACTTGTCAAGCTACCTGGGTTCGCCCAAAAGAGGCTTAAGGCCGATGTGTCTCAGTGTTAAATCCTCTCCTTTGTGTACTCTGCTCAGTTTTTTTTCAATATAAAAATGGACGATTTGAGCGAACCAAAACGACTTTAGCTTTACTGGCGAATAATTTTCAAAGAAATCTTACTCAGTCTTACAAACAAACCCTGTGCACCTCAGTGAACGCATGTCTCCCTTTGCTGAGCGAAGTGCAGGCTCAACTTATACCGCTCAGCGCACTGCTCTGTCAGTCACAGAGTACAGAGGGTTGGGGGGTGTTCCAACATCTGCCAAATCTATTCCCTCATCCAGTTTTAGTCTGAATGCCATTGAACCTGGAGTCACTGTAATGTGATGAGTCTTGGAGTGAAGCCAAACCAATCCTCTGCAGCTCATTGTTGTTATGTTAAAGAATGTTTTTTTCCTATTATTGTCATATTTTCAGTCAATGTATTTTGTTAATAAGCAACTCGATTGCCTGCAGAGAAATGCTAGTCAGCCACACCTGTGTCACACAGCACTGGGCTCATCTGTCATTACCGAACAGGGCAGCTTCATAACTTGCTGCTTAGAGTGAAAGGGCTCTTTGTTCAGCCCAGGTGCCAGCAATGGCAGTGAAGGAGTTTAACGGAGGCATCTGCGTTAACAGAACCTGCTCCTGTGGCTGAGATGAGGTGTGAAATAGCCCGACACCACCACCTCTCGCAGGTTGGTTTCTGTGGGATGGTGCCAGATCCCCTCGCCTTGTCTTTATGCTGGTGTGACGTACAGTATTACAGGATTAATCTGCTCCTGGCAATGGACAATGGTGACTGGTTTGCAGAAAACATTATTTTTTTCCTCCAGTTTTTCTTTTCCTCGACCCTTGCAGTATTTGGCACTAAAAGATTATAACTCTGAATGGATATGAAAGTTCTCTGTAATATTCTGGCTCAGTCCTTTGCAGTATTGTGAAGAGAACTCTGATCTCTGTTGATCTTTCAATGGAAAGTTAAGTATATCGCTGCCTATTGAATTTCAAATAAAAGTGTTCTTTATTGGTTTGAGTCGCAGTAGTTTATCTACAGCAATCCATTTTTCCTAGTAATTTATTTTCTGTACAAGTGCAAAGACGCTGGGTATTTGCACTTGTACGGTATCGGGCTCCACCACTCCGAGAACACAGTCCAGTGTGAAAGACGCTATATAAGTGCAAGTTGTCTGACATCATCTGACCAAATGATTATAAAAAAACCAGATTAGAAATGTAATGTGAATTCAAAAACATTAATTTACCAAAGAGAGAAAACTAGAGACAGAGTGCCTTTTGTCTGCTGCTCTTAAGACAAAACTGCAGTGAGGGTTGGGGTAGAGGCAGTCTCTGTGTATTCGCTGATAAACTGAACATAAAGGTCAATAAAGTAGTGGAAGTTAGTAGTTATTTAATCAGTGCAGGTGCACACAGGCAGGGAGAGACTTGGTGCTATTGTGAGGCAGAGACCGCACGTGGCCAATTTAGGTTCTTCCAAATTTGCCAAAATGTTTATTGTGAAGTCTAGAAAATTCATATGTACACATAGAAAATAACATTTTCTGAAATCACAGCATCTCTACACAACACAACCTGAAGTTTAAATGTACAACGGAACCGAACAGAATTCAGCACAGCTCTGGAATGTCAAGCAGCAGTGTCCACGTGCTGCGGGTGCAAGCCAGCACCCCGTCCTGCTCAGGCTCCAGCCTGCGCCTGGAGTCACTTTGTGCAGAACCAATGCACATCCTGGAATGAACTGTGATAAGGCCTCCAAGCATTTTATATCGTCCACCACTCTGCTCGTTGAACTTTCCAACACTTAATGAAGTATCCGATAGTCGGATGTATTAAAGCAGCTTGGTTGAAGGTCTACTCTCCGAGTTGGGTTAATTCACAGCAATGCTGACTGTTATCTGAGTCATTAAAGAGAATTTTATCTCTCTGATGACATCTGAGTCAAAGAGAATTGGTTCTCCCCTTAAAGTTCCCTGTATTTGAAGCGTTGAAGTTGATAAGTCACTTAGCTGAAAGGACATATTCCATAGCATTGGAGGTGAATTCTACAATTCTAAAAAAGTAAATCTTCCTCCAATGAAACTAAGCTTCTTGAATTCTGACTGGAATGTACTGTTTGGGATATGAAAAAGGGTTACTTTCTCTTGGCACAATGTTAGGTTGCACATCAGGTCCGTGTCACAGCAGTGGAATAGCTGCATTCTGTCGATCACACCCTCAAGCAGGCCTGGCAGCCAGCGGGGAAGTGAGAGGTCACGCCTAGACATCACGCAGAATAACTATATAGTACTCACACAGCAGCTGCTTATCACACTCCATTAGTCAGGCATCATTTGTTTCAAGGAACTCGCCTGCACACACACACACACAGGCCTTTTATCTACCTTTTTAAAGAGTAGATCTCACTCTACGCAATGTGTCATTTACACATGTCTCACCCTGCAAAGACATTCTTCTCTAACGTCACTTTAAATTAACCCAACTTGTTTCCGTTGCATACAAGTTGATGAATTAAGGAGCAAATGTGATTGATCGACACAGCCCTGAACGAGGATCAGCAGTACCTGCTCCCCACCCCACACATTCACTCACACAACCTGACTGGCTTCAAGAGTCAGTTTTATATGAAAAAAATGCTAACTGACCAATTACATTCACAAGAACTTTCAAACTCATCCGATATTTTAATCTCAATGCATGAATTGCAAAGAACGAAAGGACTTAAAATAAGTCAACGCATTAACACTGCAACAAGTGTCGCCGAAGTCTTTCCCCTGAAGACTGTTAAGAGCTGCTGGGATTGACAGTCAGGAGTTCCCCAGATACCTCGGTCTGGTTTAATTAATTAAGGAACTAGCAGTTCATCAATACTGAGATTGCTTGCGAGCTGCAGTATTAATTACAAAATAAAGCCTCAAAGCACAACTTACATTCGAAAACTAAATTTTGGTAAAAAAAAACACAAAAAACAAACTGATCCATTGCAAGAGAAGATGATGGGACTCTGGAGCGGTCAGAGGCAGTGTCTGTCAGGATACCCACCCATCAGCAAGAGGCAAGTGATTCTCTCCCCTCACACACACGCATACTGGAGTGTTCAACTGGCTCCAGGTATATGTCCGCAAAAGTCATTCAAAAGACGCCATGAGAAGCTGCAGTTCACGAAAGGCACTGCCCTGGCGCCCAGCCAGCCCTGCTTTACTCTGAAGAATTGGAACAAGGTTCTTTAACTGTTTGTAGCAGAGTTTACATTTGTGCTGCCTAAGAAAGAAAGAAAAGCAGTTAACATGTACACTTATGCAGTGGTGTATCACAGTCCAGGATCAGGGTAATTTATTGATGTAGTGCCCAGTGAGGAGTCAGCTCTGCATTGTCCAGGAGTGACAATGGATTATAATGATCCTTGCATTTGATATAGCAATTTTCACGCTTTCTAGATGTCTCAAAGCGCTTCACAGAATATACTATAAATAATAATAATAATCCTTGCATTTGATATAGCGCTTTTCATGTCGGGAGGACGTCCCAAAGCGCTTCACAGAACACACTGTAAAGTGAATTGACTGTATATTTGTGGGCGAACGCAGCAGCCAATTGCGCACAGCAATGTCCCACAAACAGTCGTAGATTGAAAATGACCAATTTATTATTGTTTTTAGTTTTGGAGGGATTATTATTAGGCGTTGGGAGTAAGGAAACTTGCCCAAGGTTTCGCCCTCTGCCTGGAATTGAACTCAGGTCTCTCACTTGCAAAGCGAGTGCTGTAACCAGAGCTACAGGACTCCACGTAAAGTGAATTGACTGTATACTTATGGGTGAAATGCAGCGCAGAGCAGTGTCCCACAAACAGTCATGGATTGAGTGACCAGATTATTATTTGTTTTTTTTTCTTGAAGAATTATTATCAGGCGTGTGGAGTAAGGAAACTTGCCGAAGGTTACGCCCTGCCGGGAATTGAACCCTCGCTTGTGAGGCAACTGCTGTAACCACTGAGCTGCAGGACTCCACCTAACAGGATTAGGTCACTGTTCTAGTGTTGGCTGCTTCCCCCTTATATCATCAAGAAGCCAGTGAGTTACAATGCAAGGTGACCCAGATTACAACTGAACCAAAACCTCACAAAACAAATCTGACAAATACACAGCAATGTCACAGCAAATAAGACACTATATCAAATGCAGGGATTGTTGTTATTAATAATAATAATGTAACTGATAGTTTATAGCTGCAGAAAAACTGAACCTCGAGTCCTCAACTAGCAAGTTAACCAAATCCTATTGTCAGACCGCTGACTGATACTAAAACTGCTTCTGTTCATTTACAATCCACCTGAAGCCCAAACTCTGTTACTCCTACAACAAGAACAACTAACTACATTGGTATAGAGTCTTTCACTTCGGGAGGACGTCCGAAGGCACTGGACAGTCAAGGATTTACACCCGAGCTGGGAGATGGGATCAGAAGGGGTGGAGGGTGACCGAAGGCATGGTCGAAAAGGAGGGTCGTGAGAGGGGCCTTGAACGAGGCAAGGGAGGGGGGCGAGGTGAAGCGACTGTAGGATGGAGTTCCAAAGAGTGGGGCGTAGGTGCAAGGTAGATGAATATGAGGGTGTATTGGGAAGGAAGACTCTGGTCCTAGACAAATTAGATAAATAAAATACTCCTCACCCACCCTCCCCAAAAAAGTGATGCATCGCACATGATATGAACACAATATCATCTAACAATGTTAACGTCAGTAAATAAAGCCACAAAATCTCCCAAAGACGTAGCAGCTGTAGCATTACAACAGAAGCTGTAGCACTTTATCTTTCTCTGCGGCGCTGTCTCACCTCTCCTCTCGAGTTATGTCCACGCCAATGGATGGTGGTGTAACCAGGTTATCTGCTATCAGGGGTCCAAATCGTTGCAAGATCAATTTGAGGGACATACAACCTGTCTGTACGTAGCTGTAAGGAGAGAAAGGGGATCTGGTTATGGCACTTATCAGGCAATATGAGTCTTGGTATCCTAGCCAACAATCCCTCAAATAAAATTGGTCGCTCACTCCATGACTGTTTGTGGGGCATTGCTGGGTGCAACTGTGCTATCATGTTTGCCTACAAATGTAGTTGTTTCTTTCACAGTAAAATCCTGTGAAGCACTTTGAGATGTTCTTCCAATATAAAGCGCCCTAATCAAATGTAAATATTATTATTATTATTATTTCTCTGCTCTGGATATTAGCTGGTGATTGGCCCCCCCCACCAAAATCAGAGAAACTCACCAAAGTTCAACAAAGTCCATCAATGAGGAGTGAGTAGTGGTGTAAAACACTGTAAAACCTTGACAAAAGCCTTGCCCCCTCCCTCCCCACCTTCAAATCCCGCCTAAAGACCTTCCTTTTTGATCCTGCTTACGGTCACCTACCCCTTCCCTCTCCCCCTGGTTTGTTGTCAGACTCTGCCACTGGTGAAGCACTCTAGGACTCTACCTGCATGAAGGGCATTACACAAATGCAAGTTGTTGTTGACAACACAGAGCCGGGGCTATTCTTTAATCCCAAAGCAAAATATCAAATCATTTGCTGAAGGCATGAGCTGATAACTCGGTGTAAAACACCTTGACAACTGAAGCTTGTGAATCTCACCACCCTACTGTACATAACAACCAAGATGCTCTGAAAATAGCTTTAAAATTCCCAACCTCTCATACTTGCTCTGCAACAGTTTCTCGATCTGAGGAATAATGGAAGAGCAGAGGTCCAGCTTCCACAAGGCCCTGAAACAAAGACATCATCATCAGTCACAGCTGATGAAAGATTACTGGTACCAGTTAATCCTTTGGAAACACTGAACAAGCTACGTTAGTTGAGAAAGTACTCAGTTAGAAGTTTAAACCCCAGAGGAACACTTAACCCTTATTTCACAAATTATACATTCTGAATTAGTTGCTGTAATCTCACCCAAAGTTCTCCAAACAACATCAATACATTTCTGGGAAACATGCTCCCCATCTCACACAGCATCAGATTTTGGGGGGAGGAAAGGAGAAAGGAAGGAGCGAAACTGTATAGAGCGCCATATAATACGCCACATGATATCATTATACACAATAAAAAGCTACATACACCACTGAAGTTCACAGACCATGTTTTTTCCAACAAAAGGAGAAGATCGCTTTGTAAGCAGATACGTACGGTTTGAGATTAATTATGTTCAAGATGTCCACCATGACTGCTAAATCATTCATCGTTACAGCCGAGTCAATGGAGGTCTGAAATATTTCAAAGAAATTAATGTTAAAACCTGGATTCATATTAGGTTGGAACAAAAAGCTCTACCAAACGTGTCTGACAGAATTTTTACTGGTTATTTTTCAACATAAATATTTTTACGTACAGACCTGCCTTGCCCATGAATCACATTGTGCTATCATTCATTGCCACAACAAGTACCACTATAGTAACTACCCCACCGTCCCCTACAAAGAAACATTTTGAGCTTGTGTCTTGTGTTTGCTCTGCCTACTCCCCATCCAGAGAGTCTTAGTGCTGACCTTATATCTTTAAACTCTACAAGATGTTAAGCTATGAATTTATTGTATAATTTAATTTAATAAGATTATTATTACTATAACAGGTAACAGATCTTGAACATTGTTTTGCTCTTTACAAGCAATTATTTTTAAAAAAACCTGATGAGAGGAAAGCCTTGCCAACCTGGGACCAACTTTAGGTGTTTGCTGTTTGCAAACGGTTTCCAATTTGATGTTATGAGTCCACTCACAGGTATTCCAGGAACTGGGAAGATTACATGTACATCACTGCAGGACTGACCCCACTCACCTTGACATCTCCAGTGGTCCACATGGCTCTCACCATGTCTAGGTTCTTGAAGCGGCTTGTTAATATCACACACATTGTGTCGTGTCCTTTTCGGATCTGGCTGACAGCATCCTCATCAGTCAAATCCGCCAACTTGTTGTTCTTCTGAGGCTGCGGAAACACAAGATGTAATAGAAGCATGGCCTTGGTTCGGCAACCTGAAAGATGGCGATTTCTGAGCTCTGGTGGAGATGATGTTGTGAACAAAATGGTCAGATGCAGAGATGAAGCTCCTGCAAATAAAATGAACCTTATCCAAAGTCGTCTCCTGTTTTTTTCAATTCACTAAAGTGGAGACTGTGCAGCAAAATTAATGAACATCAATGCTACACAAATAGCAACACAAAAATACATGCACAACAACAGGAGCAGGGCCGAGGAGAAGAACTCTGTACAACTCAGACAAAACATATTCACAGATTGTCAAACCCTAACCCCGGTTTCTCCGATGGGACTGATGAACTCTTAGTCTTGCACTTAATGCTGAACTGTCAAAGTGCATATCCCAGGCTCCAAGAGAACTGCTAACTGTGATGCTTGGTGAATGCATTACTCAGCACTTGACGAAACAACATTATCTTAGTCAAGTCAAATGCCCTTCACTTACTAAGAAGGCTCTCTCTCTCACACACACAGACATCAGCACTGAGGGCACCAAATATATGCAAGTTGTTGTTGTTGGCAAATAACCTAATTGTTAATATTCTGCCAATATTGGAGCTGCAAAAGCTTAGGAATTTCAGTTCTCATAACATTTGGGGAAGGGGGGGAGAGGAGGCGTTAGTTTGAGAAATTATCTCCTTTTCCATCTTCTGTTTCTCCTACAGAGACTGATGATCCACAACAGGGGCTATTACAAGCAGTAAGTAGCTGGCTTCAAACTTCAATCAAACATCGAGCTTATTATGCTATAACTTGACATTTAGTTTTGAACTTGTGGCACAGACTGCCACCTAGTGTGGGGAATAGAGACTTGACTGAAAGATTTCATACAGAAATGAATAGATTTGTTTATTCAGTAGGGAGGGGAGTGCAGCAACAAAGCTGGGGATAGATAGAATGATCCACTGAGATCCTAAAACAAGGAAGGAATGGAGCTGTGACTCGCAGAGCTAAGAATGTGGCAATTGCTAAACATAACAAGAATATACCAAGATATAGAATTTTAAGCATCACAGGATGAACTTCTTCAAACTGCTATCATTGTATAGTATGCCTTTCTGAGCATCATCCACAGGGAAGGCACCATAGTTCTGCGGTCCATCCCTTTCAGAAGCCAATGGTCAATTGAAGGGAGTCTTAGATGAATCTTAGAGTCTTAGATCTTGCCCTTCAGTGGGGAGAGCAGGTCCTTTCATGCTGTCATTCACAAGGAGACGCTCAACTAGATGAAGCCCAATTTTGAAGCCCTAAAATAAACCCGTGACTTTGATTCCTAGTCAGTTAAACTAATTCCCCTCATTGAAAATCCAAAACTTACGCAGAAACAAAATCAACAGCCATAACCGCACAGACCTCAGGCTAAGGTGGCGAAAAGTAGATTGCAAAAGAGTGAATTATCCTCACAACAAATTCTACCCATCGCATCACGGCAGCGGTGGGATGGTTTCAAAGTTTTTTTAAAAAATAAAATCAGCAAACGTCACTTACTGGGAGAAAGTCTGCCACCTTCAATCCAATGGGCTCATTTTTAGCGAGTGGGATTATGGGTTCTGCGACCCGGTTGATGGGGGTGGATGAAGCTACTGGAAGTAAATTCAGCTGATCTGGCTGAAAGAGAGCAAAGTTTCAACACACAGCAGACTAGGCTGCCCTGCACCAGAGCCAACTGGTTATCAAATTATAACCACTCACACACCTTCACAGTGCACCCATTTCAGCCAAACTGAAGCCAGAACAAGTATGAAAGCAGGAAACAAAGCAGCTGGAACATTTGAAATCCTGAAGCAAATTCTTCCACATGAGGAAATGACTGAATTGCGCTGTTTCAAACCATTTATCAGTGTCATTTTAAAACACGACTTCAATTCTGAGTGCTCTACATACATGGCAGCTCCGCAAGAGAGAATCACAAAGACAGGACACAGACCAGACACAGACAATATTCTAAAGCACTCCAAGCAATTGCACTTCACCACATTTGATGTGAAGCTGTGGTGTGTGAGCAGAATACACTAAAGTCTAAAACAGCTTGTAAAAAACGCGGTGTAAAATTCCCTGGCAGATTTCAAATTCTGCGCCTTGTATGGAGAAGACAGTACTAAAACAGCTCACACGTACCGCTCTCACCAGGCTAGTGCCTGCTTAAAAGATGGATTGGTCTAGCAGCACACAGAAAAACAAAGTAGTTGGCCTATTTTGTGTTTTGACCAACCGTGCCACATGAACTGATCCATAATTTATGGCAACTTGCAACCAAGCCAAAACAGTTGTAGGTAGAATTGAACAAAGGGCAGGCTTTACTGCCAGAACAGACTGTAACAAGTCTGGCTGAGAGCACTTGATTGTGATGTTACCCACCACTTCTGTAAAGGTATCAAGTCCTTTGGTTACAAAGGCCAGCTTCCTGGCTTGATATTCACAGCTGACATACACAAGGGCAAATGTATATAGGTGGGCATGATGGCTGAGAAAAGTGGGAGAAACATGAGATTTTGCAAAAAAGGTCAGTCCCATCACCATCTTTGGACTGAGTGAGCTATGAGCTATTGTGAATATAATTCCAAATAATGAAACCAGTTCACTAGATTTAATGATCTGTTTAATTAACGGTGCCTCATTAATTGTAATGATCCCTAAAGTGACTGTGGATCACATAGTTGGTCATGCTACTCAGTCAATATTGCCTGAAACTAGTCTTATTCTGCATTCTGGAATTATACATTAATCCAGATTAGTTTCCTCACAGAAAGCAGGAACAGTAAAGGATTGCAAAATGACACACTGCTGGGATTACACATACTGCAGTGATTACTGCATTGGAACATTAGCATTAGAACAACAGGATATGGTTTATTTTTCTCTCTCCGCAAATGCTAACTTGCTGAGGTACATTTCATAGGAATCGGTCATCCTCCCCAAATGGTCACACTTGCAAGTGCAGATAGTAAGTGGTGGCAGGTTGCGTACGTATCAGAAGAGGCTGTCACTGGCGATCCTGAACCTGCCCAAATCCAATGGTAGTCACACACATTTCACTGGTCACTATGATCAGGACCAGAAATGATGGCTAAGTGAGTCCCCATCAATGTAACTGAAGCTAACTGTCGTGTACCTAGCTGAGATCAGACACTGAGCAAAAATCAGCAACCATTCTGGACTGTGCGGCTGTTTCACATCGTGCAGTGGCCTTACCAGCTGAGCCATGGGAGAAACCTCCATCAGTACATTTAGGAATTGGGCCTTTTGTGTTACTATACCTGGGCTCTTTTCATGGCAGCAGATTGCATTTCTGATGCAGGGTTGACTTTCTCAACTTCCTTCAAAAGTGGAACATTATCTGTGTGAAGTCCAATATAGAGCATAAAACAAACAGTCGTAGAGAACAGCTTGGATACAACGCATATTTCAATGTAATAATAAAACTGAAACTCAATACAGAAAAGGCAGAAGCTTACCATCTTCCGGGGGAGCAGGGAAGGGATCGTTTCTCCGAGGTGGGGTCCGAGCTGAAACACAAACACACCAGTAAGAGAAACACCAGTCAAGCACTTCACCACATTTTCCTTCTCAAATAGTCTGCCCTAAATTTAAACTCACATAAAATTGAGACGCCTAGATTAGCAGTTGCATTGCTGGGATTTATTCTTCTTTGTGATTTCAAAGCTAATTGTGTGCCCCAAGAAAAATAGCCATTGTCCGTGCACCCAGAATTCTCCAACATGGAATGAGGTCACTTGAAGTCAACTCCCTCTGCAGCAGTCAGGTTTCCACAGTAAATAAAGGCATGAGGAGACTCAGCAATGGAACCTTTATCGTTCCTTCACAAAGTTACAAAGTGAGAGCCATCTCCTTGACACGGCGCTTCTAGTTGGGCTGAATCTTAAATTCAGTCTCAATCTGGATGTCAGTTTTCTGTAGTTTATATCAGGACCGAGGAAAAACAGCTTCTGAATTAAGCCGAATTTAAGAATTTTCTGCACAATCTGAACGGTTTAAGGCCACGCGTGGCTATTTGTGGGACATTGCTGAGCACAAGGTGTCTGTTGCCTTCACTTGCAAATACACAGAGGCTGCACTTCATAGCAGATCCCTGTGAAGTGATTTGAGACGTTTCGATATTAAAGATCTTATATTAAGGATTGTAATAAATATGAATGAGGTTTAATTAAGTAACAACCGGGGTAATGGCAGATGTGGCACAAACATTATCCAAAAAATGCTGAAGCCCCTTATATCCTGAATGTGATCGCTAACAGCACAGATTGACGGGGAAGTCCTCTCACTTACCAATGGCACTCTTTGGCTGAAAAATCTCTTTGTACTCCTCAGGATTTCGAATCTCCGCTGTCGACTCCTTATCATCCTTGTCCTCTTCCCCGCTGGGGCTGCGCTGCTCACTCTCTGGCTCCTCTTTCACTTTGCTATCGAAATAAGGCAGGGTTTTTCCCTCTTGTAAAATGACAACGGAGACAATAATCTGCCCTCGCAATGTAAAACGGATATAATACTGAGTGAGGCACATACCCATTTACTCCACAACTTCAAATCTTAAAAGCCAAGCCCACTGCCTCCACCCCCCCATTCGATTTCAGAATGATCAGTAAAGAAGGTAGAGGAACAGACTGAAAGCAGACTTGTGCCTGGTGAAGGGACTTTTAGATGGTACAGGAGTTTCCAACAGAATCAATGGCAATTTAGGAATTTGCTGTTAATGAATGTGTTGGGATTGATCCTGAATCCTGATCAGAAAGATGACTGGTGCGTACCTTTGCGGTCTGCTGCAGGTAGTCAGTGGCCGTTCATAGTTGCGTCTGAGAGCAGCTCCTTTCGGTGTCAACAGATTGAACAGTTTCTCATCTTCGATCTCACCCTGGACTATGGAACCTGACTTTTTCACACGATTCAGGTCCACCACGAATGTTGAGACAGTCATCTGACTGCAGGAGGCACCGATCTAGGTAGAAACGGACAAAATACTAAAACCTCGGATCTGAAATAATAATAATCCTTGCATTTGATATAGCACCTTATCGTATCTTTGAGACGTCTCAAAGCGCTTCACAGGATATACTGTAAAAGTGGATTGAATGTGTATTTTGTGAGCGAAACACAACAGCCAGTTTGCCACACAGCAGTATCCCATAAACAGCCATGGAGAAAATTACCAAATTTTATTCCGGGGATTGTTAGCCAGGACATCCGAGTTGAAAAAGGAATGATAAACTTCAAACAAAGGAATAATTGACTGCATATTTCGCCCACAAACTATACAGTCAATCCACTTTACAGTATGTTCTGTGAAGCACTTTGAGACGTCTTGAAGACGTGATAAGGCGCTATATCAAATGCGAGGATTATTATTATTTAACACAGTCTTAGAAGTGGGGACCTACCAACTGGTTGGAGCAGGTGCTGAGGTCAGACACTTTACTCCAGTTTACTGGCACAACATCGAAACAACGAGGGGGTTCCCAGCCATAAACGTGGAGCGAGTCCTGGGAACCGCTGTACAAACAGCAGCCATCCATGCTGAATAAAATACACCTGAACAAGAGAATAAAAAAATTAAATTTAACAACGAATCATTCAGATTTCTTTTGCAATTTGAAGGCCGATCTCATTTACAATCTTCCCTCATCTGTTTTTTTGTAAACTTCAATAATAACAGCCACAACTCGCATTTATATAGCACCTTTCACATCGGGAGGACATCCCAAGGCGCTGGATAAGTTTCAAAAGTACTCGTTCCTCCAGCAGTTGTCAAATTTAAAGCATATACGTCTATTCACCGCCCCTGAATACAATACAAATTTACATTTATATAGCGCCTTTCATGTCAGGAGGATATCCCAAGGCACTTGACAGTCCTAGCTTAGTACCTGAACTGAGGGTGGGTGTCGGAGGGGTGGGAAGGCAAAGGTTACCGAGAGAAGGCAGGGTTCAAGTGGAAAGTCTTGAGACAGACCTTGACAGAGGTAAGAGAGGGGAAGAGACAGAGGGATTCTGGCATTGGATCCCAGATCGGGGGCTGGTGGCCTGTGCTGCTGCTTATTCAATCCGCTGTATACGGCTCTGCATACCTGATAGGAGAGTTCTCCACCTCGGTGCAGCTCACCATCTTAAACTTTTCCAGATCCCAGAACTTTATTGTCCTGAAAGACAAAAATAAATTACAACCGATTTCACTGGAGAACGATCAGGAGCATCCCCTCTGGTGATTATCCCCCTGAGGCCTGAAGCTGATAACAGCAAATTCAGAACAAATGTGACCGTTCTGGTCTGTGCGGCTGTCGCACTAACTGACCCTGAAATGTGCAGAGAAGCCAAGGGCAGAAGACCTTAGACTCGAGTCCAGCACCAAGAACCATTCTCCTGCTACAATAAAGGATGATGAGGACGGCAGAAGTTTGTACATCGGGCATTCAACTTGGATGGAGGAGGAAGGATTGCGAGAAATATGTTCCAAACAGAAGAATCTTGGTACTATAGCAGGGTTTATTCTGACCTGTCCGAACTGCCTGAAGCCAGAAGATACTCGTTGGGGTGAAACTCCACAATGTTTACTGGTCCGGTGTGTTCTCTGAACTCTGTTAGAACCTTTGCGGCTGAGAGATCCCATAGCTAAATAAGAAATGAAAATTATTAGCCTCTACAGGTAACTCATTCCATCTGCATGGAACAGAATCGAGGATGGACATGTTTTCAGGAGTGTTGATGCTGCGATGCCAGGATTAAAAATATGGAGCTCAAAAATGTATTCACAAACCAAAGTTATAATCCCTCCAAAGATAATAATAATAATTTGGTCGCAAAATCCACAACTGCTGTGGGACACTGCTGTGCGCAACTGGCTGCTGCATTTCACCCACAAAAAACAGTCACTACACTTTACAGTATATTTTGTAAAGCGCTTTGAGATGTCTCAACGACGAGATAAGGCGCTACATCAAATGCAAGGATTATTATTATTTAGAAGTCACTGCATTAAATGAGATTTCTGATTTGTGAATACAGTATTGCAAGATTCCCCGAAAGGAGAATCCCAAACTGGCAAAGTCAAAGTCAGATAGAGCCCAAAATCTTCCAACCTGATGATTACGAACTGGAAGAAATGAATTTGGTTTGCAAACTTTTTTTTTAGAAACTCCTGCACAAGAGCAAGGAATGAATGCATTATCATTCCAACAAAAGCTTTAACTACTGTCTCAAAACTGCAAGGCTTGTCTAGTACTGAAAAAGCATGGAGTACTCCTCAAGGTGAGAGATATTAACAGATAAAGGAACTTTAAGAACACGGCATTTTAGGAGACTGTTATGTGAATTATTCAGTGAAAGACAAATGATCAATATTGCACTCAGACAGATCCCTGAACAATGTCAGTCACACCTTTACACAGCATCGCTGTTCTATTGCTGTACATAACTCCAAATAATACCTTCACAATGCCATCATCCCCAGCAGAGGCTATCCACCGTCCATCAGGACTAAACCTTAAACACCGGACAGCATTTGACTGGCCCTGCAAACAAAGAGAACAATAAATCAGCTTATATAACCGACTCTAACCCTGCACTGCAGCTCACCCAGGTTAAAATACTCAATGTAGAGATCAGTCCAATTTGATTCCATCAGTAATCATTGTCAATGTACCATGACTATATACTTAAAAGTGCTCATTTATTTTTGCAGAGAGGTGGGGGAGTGAGCAGGGTTTCCCTGTAGCTGACTCCAAGGAGTCATGTCTGCCAATGAACTATCAAAGTCAAGTCTCTGGCAGTCTCAGTAGTTTGATTCCTGAGCCAGTTGAGCCTAAGTTACTGTTGTTGACAGAATAACTAAATCAATACCGTAATGCAGCACTTGTGGCAGTGGTGGTTGTTGTCAGTGGGTACTAATAGAAGAAATTAATCTACCAGCATCTTGTAGTAGGACTGTATCATCCTATAAAGGACGCACTGAGAATAGTGACTCTTCTCACCTTGTATGTCATTACGCAGCCTTTTCGTCGAATGTCCCATAGCTGGAAGGAAAGGCAAAATAATTAGTACCACAACACAGTAAGAATTCCCCAGTCACTACAGTAATGGCATCAGGAAATAAAGGCTTCAGAATAGTTCTTTAAATCAGCATATTGCATCACTTTAGTACAGACGTTTTATAAAAATGAAAAGACGTCAAGAAATACTGGGACCATCTAAAGACCTCCACGTGCACAAGTCCAATGGCTTTGCTTCTCTTTACGGCCCTGAAGCAGGTGACTGTTCAAAGGCATTATAGAGGCGAGTAAGAATCATTCCTGTGCATTGTAATTTGATGTTTGGATCAATACAGATGTTTATTAGGAGTAGAGTCAGGGAATTATGTTCTGTTTCTCTACCTTTATATTGGTGTCCATTGAACCAGATGCCACAAACTCGCCATAAGGATGGAAGTCTAAACTGCAGACGTTAGCTTTGTGTCCTGATAATGTCCGAAGAACTAGAAAGAAACACATTAATTTAATTTTCTATTACATTCCTTCTTTACAGTTTGAGCAGTTGGTGACCTATTAATAGAGCACTTGCAGTTGGAAGCTCACTCCTTGCAGTCTCGAAATGTACTTATACACATCTCCCCATGAAATTTCATCATGATCCATTCAGAGGAATTCACCTTCCTGCCTTGATTTATGAAACTCCTCCGGTCCTATCCATGAAGAAACAAACTCCAGTAACTTCTACTGGTTCTACTGGTGTTCCACTCTACTAGGCTGAGATAATTGGGATACTGTTATGCGCAATTGGTTGCTGCATTTCACTCACAAATATACAATCAATTCACTTTACATTATATTCTGTGAAGCGCTTTGAGACACCTAGAAGACGTAAAAAGCGCTATATGAAATGCAAGGATTATTGTTATTATAATAAAGACAGAAGACGTCCTTCAAATGTCTTACAATACAATTTACATTCATACAGTGCCTTTCACGTCAGGAGGACATTTCAATGTGCTGGACACTGCTAGCTGGACAACCAAGGGAGTGAGCAAGTTGGAAGGATCTGGATTGGAGTTCCAGAGAGCGAGGGCAGAACGGCTGAAATGAGGTTGGGCAGTGAGGATTGGCTGGTAAACAAACCAGCTAATGAAATAAAATGCAAAATACTGCAGATGCTGGAAATCTGAAAAATAAGGTAGAGAACAGGGCATCCCTGGCTTAAAAAGGTGTTAATGATGCAAAATTTTCTCCCCATTTTCTCCTTTGTCTTCCTTGCCCTGCCTCCCATTAGTCCTTAAAAGTCTCTCCCTCTCAATATGCCCCAGTTCTGACGAAGGGTCATGGACCCAAAACGTTGACTCACTTTCCTTGCTCCATAGATGCTGCCTGACCTGCTGAGTGTTCCCAGCGACTTCCGGTTTTGTTCCATTTAATGAAATACTGCACTATGCTGACCAAGAAGGCACAAAACCTGATCCACAGTCTATACTGAGATAATTTAAGTCAGTTGGAGTAGCATCTCTGGCGAGTAAAATTCCAGCTGCTGAACGACACTTAGACACGGTATCAGAGGGCAGTTGGCTGCGATGCTTTCAGAAGCTCTATTTTCAGACTATATGTGGTTCACCAAGCAAGTGGATGCAAATGCTCCTTGCTGTCCCCAAAGCCTCATTTTAATTTCAACTTCAGCTGACACCACCCCAGATTTAAAGATTCATTCATTATTTAATGCAGAACCACATCATACGATCAAAAACTGCAGCACGAGATGTTAGGCTGGATTGGAGTGGTTGAGGTGGACAATGGTGCCTGAAATAGTAAAGTGTTCCTTCCCCAACACCTGCAGCGCTTAAGACGATGAGAAAAAAACATTTAAGCAGATACGACAGATGATATTGGGCTAGTTGGTAGATTATATGTCGTTTATAAAGGGAACTGGGTATTTACTTGAAAAGAAAAACTGTAGCTGAAGTGTGGGACTAAATGGATATATAGCTCTTTCACGAGCTGGCACAGGCACGATGGGCCAAATGTTCTCCTTCGTTGTTGTATAATTCTAGGATTACTGAGGCCTTTCAGAATTCAAAAAGTGAACAAAAAGCCATTCATTTACAGGATATGATTTTAAAAAACACTTACTTTTGGCTGCTTCCAAATCCCATATTCTTAATGATCCAGACTGTGAGCCTGCAACAACCAGCTCCTCAGTGTCCTTGAATTGTATACACTCCACTGGAGTATTGTGGCCGGTCAGACTCTGTGCATAAGAACGTTTTTTATTAAAACAAAATATGCATTTTATTGAATCAGCTGTACTAAAGTTAAAGCACAAATTGGAGTCAAAGTACACGTGAATCTCTGGGATTAATACCAGCAGCCCAAAGGGAGAGTATTAAACTGAAGTCCAATACAAGACCAGGTTCAACTCCAGCTAAGGCAGCATTCAAAGCAACTCCGGCAGGAGAGTTCAGCCGGTTTCATGTAGACAGGTCGCTGGCTTGATAGCCATCACAAGTGAGGTTGTTATAGCCCATCAATCTTCAGAATTTGTACCCTCAACGTAAAGAAATGTTAACACTAAATCATTAATACAACCCTGTATAGCGTGAGATTCTTATCAAGCATGCATTCGTATTTGATAAATAATTAACTTGGTACATTTTTAATGAGGTCACCTCATCTTTGCCGTTGAATTTAACAATCCTACAGTCACATCCCACAGCCTAGGGAGATCTCAGGTCTGGTCTGAGCTTTTGCTGAGTTAGCTGATCTTAAAGGTAAAGCATTATAACTAACCTTAGCATCTCAGGACTGGAGAGATGAGAATGTTCCAGCTCCTAATTGCTCCCAATTGACCCCCATGGATGTAGACAATGAGCAGAGGATTGGGCTCAGCTTTGATTCCCCTCCCACAGTGATATAGCACACTGTCTCACTCATGAAGAATGTTCAGATGGGCAAGATATTGGAGGGCTGCAAACACACTTAAAGTGCAGCGTGGGAAGGGAGAAAATTGGAAGACAAAGGATTAGACAAGCCAAATTCTGTCTCCACCCACATGTACACATGCACTTTTTTGCAGGGAGTTCCAGACACCAGCATTAAAACTGGTTGTTTTTTTTCCCTGTTTAGCCCACGGACACTGAACCAATTGTGGCTTTGATCAGACAGCTCCTTAAAGACAAGATCAAACCTGGGACCTTTGTAGTACGCATAAACCATCATTTGGGCATTGTCTCCATGACCTATTGAAGAATACTGTATGTAACTTTTGCTTTGAAAACTAGATTAACTTCTTGCAATTTTATAACATTGGGAATGTTAGTATGTAAAAATGAAGCTCCTGGCAAAACTTAAGGACTTCATTTGATTCCTTTATTGAATATAGCTTGGTTTCCTTTCCAGTTTTATGGTGTGTTTCTGTTTGCTCACCATGATACAGTTGGGTTTGCTGACCGACCACAGATTGACCCGACAATCATCTCCACCGGTAGCTAAGAGTCTGCCTGAATGCTTCCCCAGCACCAGACACGTGACATTACTGGCATGAGCCACAAATTCCTCTGTAAGAGAAAGAGAGGCAGGAATTGAATTCAGGCACGACGGATATGCAAAAGCTTCAAAATTCCTATAAATCAATTCCCATTGATTTTTTTTTGAAACTAATGTTGCTCACCTATTAACATTATTACACTGAATCCTTATAACATCTTCCCTAGTCCCAGCAAAAATACCATCATGAATAAAGTAACGTGGACCATGATAAGGACAATGAGACTTGACAGCTAGGCACATGGTATATTTTCTTCAGATGTTAGTTTATGAGAAAAATCATTGTGCAACTATTCACGGCTAGAATTGGTTTTGTCCCTGCAATATTTCACAGCATCATTAACAACAACAAGATTCCATTTATAGAGCGCCTTTCACGTCGGGAGGACGTCCCAAGGGGCTGGACAGTTGGGTCAGGACCCGAGCAGGGGGGAAATGGTCAGGGTAAGGGGAGGGAAGGGAGGGAGCGAAGAGGGGGGTAGAGAGTCGAGAGGGGAGCCGAACGCTCGGTCAAAGAGAAAGGTCTTGAGACCGGCCTTGAAGGAGGAAAGGGAGGAGGCGGCGAAGGCACTGGGGGATAGAGTTCCAGAGCCTCGGGGCTGAGAGGCTGAAGGCCCGGCCACCGATGGTAGGGCGGTTGGGGCGGGGGATGTGGAGCAGACCGGAGCCAGAGGAACGGAGGGTACGGGCAGGTAGGTAGGGGGATAGTAGGTCGGAGAGGTAGGAGGGAGCAAGGCCGTGAATGGCCTTGTAGGTGAGGATGAGGATCTTGAAATTGATCCTCTGGGGGATGGGGAGCCAGTGGAGGCGAGCGAGGGTGGGAGTGATGTGGTCGCGGTGTTTGGTGCGGGACAGTACACGAGCTGCAGAGTTCTGAATGACCTGCAGCTTGTGGAGGGAGGGCCGGGAAGGCCGGCGAGGAGAGAGTTCCCATAGTCCAGCCTTGAGGTGATAAAGGCGTGGACCAGGGTTTCAGCAGCGTGAGGGGTGAGGTAGTGCCGTAGTCTGGCGATGTTTTGGAGGTGATGGAAGGCGGTGCCAGTTGTGGTGCGGATATGAGGAAGAAAGGACAGCTCAGGGTCGAACAGAACGCCGAGGTTCCTGACTGGCTTTGAGAGGTGGAGAGTGCAGCCTTGGATGCTGATGGTGTCAGCGCCTGAGGTGCGGAGGCGCTGACGTGAGCCAATCAGGAGGGCCTCAGTTTTGCGCACGTTGAGCTGAAGAAAGTTGTCTCTCGTCCAGGACTCGATGTCGGACAGGCAGCTGTCAGGACATCGGGGGTCGTGGAGTTGAGGGTAGAGGAGGAAAGGTAGAGTTGGGTGTCATCCGCATACATGTGGAAGTTAACCCCATGTCTGCGGATGATGTCACCACAGGGGGAGCATATAGAGGGTGAAGAGGAGGGGACCGAGGACAGAGGCCTGAGGGACACCGCATGAGACAGTGTGGGGGGTGGAGGAAAAGCCGTTTGTGAAAACAAAATGAAGACGGTGGGAAAGGTACGACCTAAACCACTCAAGGACAGGGCCTGGAAGGTTGAGGTGGGAGGACAAGCGGTGGAGGAGGATAGCGTGGTCGACCGTATCGAATGCTGCCGATAGGTCGAGGAGGACGAGGAGGCAGAGGGAGCCCTGGTCACAGATGGTCAGGATGTCATTGGTGACCTTGACCAGGGCAGTTTCTGTGCTATGGGCAGCACGGAAACCCGACTGAAGGGGTTCGAATAATGAATGGGTGGAGAGGAAAGAGCGCAGTTGGGAGGCGACAACTCGTTCCAGGACCTTGGACAGGAAGGGGAGGTTGGAGATGGGCCGGTAGCTTGATAGCTGCGACGCATCAAGGGAGGGTTTTTTTCAAAGTGGGAGTGATGGTGGCAGTTTTTAGGGGAATGGGAACAGAGCCAGAGGAGAGGGACAGGTTGATGATGTCTGTGATAAGTGGGGCAAGGAGGTGGAGCTGAGAGATAAGGAGTGGAGTGGGGATGGGGTCAAGGGAGCAGGTGGTGGGTTTCAGGGACAGGATGAGTTTGGTGACAGAGGGTGGGGAAACGGGTTCGAAGGTGTGTAGGGGAGGATGGGTAGGAGTCGGAGTGTGGGAGGGAGGGGGTGGGGGGTGGGTGGAAGTTGGAGGGGGAGTGACCGCGGAGCGGATTCCCTTGATTTTGGATTCAAGGAAATCCAGCATCTCCTCGCAGTGAAGGTTGGAGGAGATGACCTGCGCGGGGTGGCGGGGGGACGGAGGAGTCGGGATGTGGTAGAAAACAGAAGCCTGGGGTTGTTCTTCGCCTCCAGGATTATCCTGGAGTAGAAGGACGACTTGGCCGAGGCTAGAGTGGAGCGGTAGATTTTGACGAGGTCCAGCCAGATTTGTCGGTGAACCGTTAGGCCAGATTTGAGACAGGTGCATTCAGCGGCCCGCACCTGGCTCTTCAGTGAGTGAACCAGGGGGATGAGCGAGAGTAGGAGACAGTACGGGAGGTGATAGGGGCAAGAGTGTCGAATGTGGAGGAGAGGGTGTTGTGGAGGAGGGTGAGAGCAGAAGAGCAGTGAGGGTTGAAGGCCAGAGGGAGAGGAGTTCAGAGGACTCCAAGGCAGCGGTTAGGGATTGTGGGGGTAACTTCTTCCAGGGGCGGTAGAAGATGGTGGTGGGTCTGGTGGAGGTGGGGAGGG